CTTAGGTTAGGGTTTAATGTCGCCACGGTTGCGGGTCGCTTGGATTCAAGGGCGTTGAGGTTTGGGCTAGGGTTCGAGGTCAACCGGGTTTCGCCTCGGATTGGGGTTCGACGCCGTCGGAGTTGGGTTTGGGTCTCGAGTTCGTCGAGGTTGAGGCCGGGGTTGAGGTTCGAATTCGCTTGGAGATGCAGAGATGAAGGATCTAGGTTAAGCTTGAACAAGTGTGGTTGATACGCGAAGAAGAAGATGAAGAAAATTTGGGATAATTGAAAAACAAAAATAATTACATAAATTAAATGTAAATAAATTAAATAATAAAGTGACCGAAATAGTAACCGATTTTATGTGACCGAAAATTCGGTTACTATTTCAGTTACTAAACTAAAAAATTATAATTTGGTTACTAATTCGGTCACCGTTAGTAACTAAATTTTTCGATCACCGATTTCGGTTACTATTTGACATTTTTCTAGTAGTGTGGAACCGCTATCATATCTTCTCAATTATGTTTTGCAAAATGCCTCTACAAATGTTTTTAACAATTAAAAACAAAGTATTTTGACAAAAGCTTTCTCAAATGCCTCTACAAAGTATTTTTAACAATTATATTGAGTTTAATTCTACAAATTAAAAGATTAAATAATAATAAATTTAATTCTTTAAATTCAAGTAGCTAGAAACTAAAATTATAGTTTATCTCGTTTTAAATATTTAAAATAAATATTTAAAAATAAAAATCAAAACTAGTATTATCTTAAATTTATTAAAAGTGTAATTAAATATCTATTTTCTTATTTTTATTTGTTTCAAACTTCTCAATTCTACATTTTTGTAAGTTCTATCATTATATTATCATCCTCATCTCCTCCCATGTTCTACTTTATCTTTACAATAGTCAATATTCTTAACTAATTTATAGTTTTAATTATACTTTTTTAGTATATATTTCAAAAATTAATCAATTCTAATCAATAATTTAGAAAACTAATCGATTATAATTAATTATTTGAAAAAATTATCAAATATGATCGATCATTTCGAAAATATAATCGATCAGAATCAACTATCGCTCAAGCGAGATAGACTCGCTCAAGCGAAATACAACCCGAGAGTACTAATTTTGTGCAGGGGGCGTTTCGCTCGAGCGAGAATGTTGTCGCTCAAGCGAGATAAAGTTTAGATAGCGGTTACACAAGAACCGCTCTTAAAAAATCACTTAGATAGCGGTTAACCCTTGAACCGCTATTATATGGTTTCAATTATGATCGGTCAGAATGCGTTTATGACCGATCATAACTATTTTAATCGATTAAATATCGTTTCAATCGATTAAAACAGCTTCTACACATGCGTTTTAATCGATTAAAACTTATTTTTATCGCTTAAAATAACTTGAAAAGTTTTAGGAGAAAGTTTTGCAATATTTCAATCGATTGAATCGCGAAACAATCGATTAAATCAACTTAGAAGATTTTTTGTAAAGTGTTTTAATTGATATAAACGTTGTCGTATCAGCTTAAAACAAATCTGTTAAAGAATCAAGAACGTATTAATGGATTAAAAGAAGTTTTAACAGATTAAAACTGCACTTTTAACAGATTAAAAGAATCTTTTAACAGATTAATTAAACCAAGCAGCTTTGAAAATCTTCTATAAAAACAAGTTTGGCTTGAACTTTTTTAACATACATTGAATATATCATCTTTACAAAATAAATAAATTTATATATATATATATATATATATATATTTTTGCATTTTAATTTTCAAATATTAATTTTTTTATGAAATTAATTTTAATTAAAAAAATTAAAGTGATATATATATATATATATATATATATATATATATATATATCCAACTATTAAATTATTCAAGATATTAATATAAATTTAAAATATCAATTCAAGTAATTAAAATAATTTTAATTTTTTATAAATACATTGAAATACATTTTTATTAACATACAAGTAATATATATATATATATATATATATATATATATATATATAAAGAGACTAAATTAATAATTAATTTAATTATTGATTTAGTGACCGATTCGATGACCGAATCAAGAATCGAATTAGTGACCAATTCGGTGACCGATTCTAGTGACCGAATCAATGACCGAATTAATGTGACCGATTCTGTGACTAATTTAATAATCAATTTTAATTTTTTTATTCACATGCTAAATAAAAAAATAAAATCAAATAATTATATTACTAAATTATTTAATAAGTTAGTAAACAATTTTTTTAAAATATTTATAATGTTATTAAAAATGTTATCAATTATTTTAAATTATTAAGTAAATTTATATTTAAAATATTTTAAATAAAATATTTATATAAATGAAAAATAGTTATCAGCTTAAAAATTATTTTTTTAGTGACTCGAAATTTTAGTCACTAAATCAGTTACTAAATATAAAAAAAATTAATAATTACATAAATTAAATATAGATTAATTAAAAAAATAAATTAAATAATAGAGTGACTGAAATAGTAACCGATTTTATGTGACCGAAAATTCTGTTACTATTTCTGATTACTAGACTAAAAAATAATAATTTGGTTATCGATTCGGTCACTAATAGTAACTAAATTTTTCGATCATCGATTTCTGTTACTATTTGACATTTTTCTAGTAGTGTATATAACTTTTTCCTATATTGAATATAAGAGAAAAAATAATACATGTTTCTTTTTCAAAGAATGTGTCATTTGCTCTCTCTTTCTCTCTATTATTTATCTTTGATGAGTTGCAGATTTGTCAAGATTCTTGTGAGTTTTGGAGCTCTCATCCATCGTAATTTTATCTTTGAAAGACATCTCGATGAGTTAAAAGAGGAGAAAATACACAAGTTATCTTTGGTCTCGACTCCATACATGAATAAAAAGAACAAAAACTAAAAAACAAAAGTTAGAATTTTTATGCTATAAATATCAAATTGTAAAAAATAAAAACTAAAGAAAACAACTTACAAATTTATTTTATTTAAGGTGAAATCGTGAAAAAAATAATGAGACTAAATGAGTGATAATAAAAAGATAAAAATGTGAAAGGATAAAGTATCATGATATCAATTAAACTCATATAAATTAAAGTAAGGGGTGGGGATGAAGATGAATAATAGAATCTCCACCCCGGTCTGGACTTTGACCTCACTTCGGACTTTATATTTAAATTGAAATCCTAAATATTAATTTTTTAAAGTATTTTATTTTCTTTTTTACACTATATATAAAATTACTTTTTCTATATTTCATACTCTTTATTTTTTTTACCCACTTTTTACTATTTTGTTATTTTCAATCTTTTAAATAAATCAATTTATTATATTATTCTTTTTATCTTACCTTTCAATTCTTCACATTTCTTTAATATTTTTCAATTTGGTTTTTTTCAATCTTTTTAATCAATTTTATAAACACAATTTTTTTTCTAAATATTCTTCATCAATATTAGTAATAACTAATATTATTTTATTTATAATTTATTTTTATTAAATTTTATTATGCCATTTTTTTATTTTTTTTTACTTTCTATTTATACTATATAAAATTTTATTTTAATAAAATAATTATATTTTAAAGGATTAAAATAATTGATAATTAAAAGTTTCGTTAGTTTGAACTAATTAAATAAAAATAAATTTAGTAAATATTTTCTTATAAATTATATTTTTTATATTCATTAACATTTTAAAATGAAAACTTAAAAATAATTATTTTATATATATAATCAAATATACTAATAATAATATAAATATTTTATATCTACATAAAAATATAATTAAATATTTCTTTTATATATTTTTTAACATAAATATAATAAATTAAAGTATATCTTTAATTAATAATAACTAAAAATTATAAATATATGCATAAAAACATATAAATAAATTTAAATTAACTTATTATAAAAAAAAAAAATTTAAATAGTGTAGAACTAGAATGGATTGGAACCAGACAACCCAAAATCTAAAGAGATGAAAAAACTTGGAGACCGCACCCTGTAAAAAGTTAGAATGAGAAATGAAGATGTGAGAGAAAAAAAGATAAAAATCTAAAGATAAAAGTAAAAATGAAAATAAAAAAAAAGTGTAAGTGATAGACTATGGGAAGGAATAAAAATGATATTTATTATAAATGAAAAATTAGAAAAATAGATAAAAAATTTAAATTTTAAAAATAATTTCTATTTAATTTTAAAAAATAATTATTATATATATATATATATATATATATAAATATTAATTTTTTTGTGGGGACGTGGCGCGTAAATACACCTGATTGTATATTATTCAATTTACAATATTACATTTAAAAAATAACATATTAAATTTCATTAAAATTATTCCTTTCTATTAATAAATACACCATTTTTAGATATAGCAAATACAAACAATAACAAAATTATTTGGGATAGTAAAAAAGATAATATTTCATTTAAATTCGACAGCATCAAATAAATTTAATATTATTTAAATTAAAACTATAATTATATGATCAGACTGTGAAATAAACTTATCATTATGTAATTTAATAATTGCTTTGCTGAGAGATTATAAAGTAAGTTATTCCTATTTTTAAGAATAATAATAAAGTAACTTCTAAAAATTTAATTTTTTTAATTTATATTTTAAGATTTTTTTGTTTTGTAAATCAAATACCAATGTAAATATCATTTATAACCATTTTACACCCCTTTTATAATAATATAATAATAAAGTTATTATTGTTATAAGAAATGTAAAGATTATATATATTATATGTATATATCATTTTGCTTCATTTACAATCACAATACTATGTATTGATTTGAGCTCACTATTAGTTGAAAGTCCAAACCGTGGAAATTTGAGTCACAAAGCACAGCTACGTCGTTAATCCTGGATCCAACACACCTGTGTCTTTAATCCCTTAATTCAATCTACCCCATTGTTCTCATCACCCTCGAGTTCGACTTCAGAGTTTAAAGATCTGTGCTTTGGCCATGGAGAACTCGGAGAAGGTGGTGGCTGTGATCATGGTGGGTGGGCCCACCAAAGGTATTTGAAATCTTTGCATGTTTTCTTAGCAAAGTTAGCGTCTTTTTCCTGTTTGAGCTTTTGGGGTTCTCTTAGTTTCTTATATGTTCAATGGTTTCTGCAGGGACAAGATTTCGGCCTCTTTCCTTCAATATTCCCAAGCCCCTTTTCCCTTTGGCTGGCCAGCCAATGGTTCACCATCCTATTTCTGCTTGCAAAAGGGTTTACTTCTTTGTCTCCTCACCTCAATTAACCTTCTCACTGTTTCTCATCAAATTCAGGGGAAAATAAATTAAAAGGACTTCATTATCAATGTTGACTTGCATACTTGTGTGTATGTGTGTAAATACACGGTCTCCAATTAGTTTAAACTCGAAAGTTCAAATTTGTGGTGTGTGTATTTGTTTAAACTCTAAAATTCAAATTTGATAAAGTTGGAAAGAAAAACCAAAAAACTAGAAGGAACTTCTATCTCAGTGTGTGTGTGCGCGTGTATGATCCAAGTAGGCAATCTCCCCTAATGAGACAAGGCTTTATTGTATTTACTCTGTGGATGTGTCTATTCACTTTTGATCAAATCGAGAACAAAAACTACAGGGGACTCCAATTTCTGTGTTCCATTAGTCTAAAATCCAAATTTGATCAAATTGAAGGAAAAAAAAAACTATAAGGAACTTCAGTTTCGATGCTGACTTGCATTTCTGTGTGTATAAAAATATACATGGTCTCCATAGTCGAAAATTTAGATTGAAGATCAGCTAAAAAACTGATGAAAAGGAAGATTAAAAGGTGTGAAGTGTTTTTACTTGCCAGTTTTGTCTTCTACAGATACCCAATTTGGCTCAAATATATCTTATTGGATTCTACGAGGAGCGAGAATTCGCTCTATATGTCTCTTCAATCTCGAATGAGCTGAAATTACCAGTAAGGTGACTAGTGCATTAGTATGCAGCTTTAATAAGAGAAAGTATGCTTGTTAGCTTTGTTAAATTCTGGACCTGACCTCGGTTTGTTACTAATATCAATGTAGATATTTGAGAGAGGATAAACCGCATGGTTCAGCAGGTGGCCTTTACTACTTCAGAGATATTATCACGGAAGACAGTCCAGTTAGAAATAAAGCTCTTCTCTGTTTTTACCATATTATGTTATATTGTTGATAAATGTATAAATTGTAACAGATTGGCTACATTTTTATTGCAGTCACATATCTTTCTGTTAAACTGTGATGTTTGCTGCAGTTTCCCACTACCAGCAATGCTTGGTAAGTATGTTGCTGTTAAACTGTGGTCGTTCTTCAGATGTATGTCCCTACTGAATTATTTCTTTTTTTCCTTTTTGTAGATGCCCATAAAAGATATGGTGGGATGGGGACAATGTTGGTGATCAAGGTTGGTGCATAAGAAAATTTGTGTACTTAAATAGCACTTATTGTACAAAAAGTGGTAAAATCTCCCTATCAATGGAGGTAGAGACAGCTAAAAATTTAATTTGCAATAGAACATGATGGCATTTTTGGATCGAAATAAGAACTCCACCTACAACCTATGGGAAAAGGACTTTGTTGTTGTTTTGTCCATGGGCTTTTTAAATACTTTCAAATGATACATATCTATAAAGATCATATTGTTGTGTTTCATTGCAAACCCTCTTTCATTTTCCTTTGGGGTTGTGGATATCTTGTGTAGGTTTCAGCTGAATCTGCGAACCAATTCGGTGAGTTGATTGCTGATCCAACCACTAACGAGTTACTGCATTATACCGAGAAACCTGAGACATTTGTGAGTATTTAGTTTGGTTTTTTTCTCTTCATTCTTCTTCCAAGAAAAAAAGCACAATCCAATGTTGGTTTTGATCGGTATAATATATACAAGCATACATGTGTGTGTGTGTACATATATTGCTTCTTACTACTACACCTAAACAAAATTAATCATTGTGTAATATGCAGGTCAGTAATTTGATAAATTGCGGTGTCTATGTTTTCACCCCTGATATTTTTTCTGCCATCCGAGAAGTATATATGAATAGAGAAGGCAGAGGTAGGTCTCTTTCAATCACCTTTTAAATAGTTTCAATCTTAAAAGACTGGTGTTGCATGGATTGATTCTCTGAAACATAATATTTAACTTGGCTTCATCCTTTAGAATTTGACAATGAGTATTGCATAGAAATAGAATGGTATATATTTTGAACAAAGAAGGCATAGGATGACTTGTGTGATTTACGACTAGATAAAAAATATGTATACAAGGACTAAATTAAAATTATGTGACTTGTATAGGGATCAATGTATTTTCGAACAAAATGTGCAACTACCACCTCATGTCATCAACAACTATTAGCCACAACAAGGGGCGGATGGATTTATGATGAGTTTATGACATCCAAATTTTTGGGATCTATTTTGATAACTTTTGCAATTATAGGGACTAAACAAATTACCTATAGAAATCAAATTTGAAATTTTGTAACAAGGTGACCCATCTAAGGATCAAATGCATATTTTAACCTATTTTTTTCTGTCCTTTATTATCTTTCTTATAGTTTATTACTTAAAGTAAAATTTGGGATGCTTCATATTATAGTATGATGAGAAGGCTCTCTGCGTACTGAAGTAGTGAAAATTATTTTTTAAACGCAGCTCCTTTATATTTGATGTATTTGTAGCCTTACATATTCTAACATCTATTTATGTCATACATGTCTGAGAACTTGAAAATGTGCATGCCTTTCAGTTTTTTCACTATATCTATCAGCTTTGTTTGCAGTTAGCATGCATCATTGGAAATTGACTTGATTTATTGACACATTTGCAGCTAATCTACGTCGTCTCTCCAACTTTGAAACGCTCCAATCTGCCACAAGGTTGATTAAATACCACTATTTTTTTATTTTATTTAAAAAAAAATTCAAAACTATTTTTGATCAGGTGCATGGATGATTGAGTTAAATGTGAAATAATCTCACTTGACTACAATTTTCTCTTTAAGGGATTAAAGTTAATCTTGCTCAGAGTAATACAAATATCTAACCCTCATTTTCTTTTTTCCTCTACTTTTCACATTGGTTCCAAAGGATTCATCCTTTTCGTTGCACATTTTTTCCTCTTTGAAAATTGCCATATCTTCTGATGCTCATGGACACATTTTCCCTTCAGGACTATTCCTGTTGATTTTGTGAGATTGGATCAAGATATTTTATCACCTCTAGCTGGGAAGAAGCAATTTTATACATATGAAACAATGGATTTCTGGGAGCAAATTAAAACTCCAGGGTAGGGTTGCATAGTATCTTAACACAGCTTCAAGCTTTAACATTTGATCTTTATTAAGTTTAACTTATAGTATACGCTTGAATGAACAGAATGTCATTGAAATGCTCAGAATTGTATCTTGCTCAATTCCGGTATACTTCACCGGATCTTTTGGCCAGTGGAGATGGTAATAAGAGTGCTATAATTTCTGGTGATGTATATATTCATCCGTCTGCAAAAGTTCATCCATCCGCAAAGGTAGTTCCATTGCCTTCTTGAAATTGTAAATACCCTTTTAAGACAAATTAAACTAGCTGTAGTTCCTTTATGCGTTTCTGCTGCAAACTCCTTAAGTCTAAAACGGTAGTTACCTGCAATAGATTACATAGATTTGTTCTTGAAGGGAAAAAAATAAAAAACTTGACTAGAATTTATACAATATTTCCAAATACTTGTGTGAAGGGGTGCATTGGTTCCATTATACAATTTTAGGAATTTATCTGTTAGGGTAAACTGTTTGTTGGATAAATGGTGTTGGAAAGAATTTTATTCAGACTTTCAATCCAAGATTGAATGAACAGTGCACATTGAATTATTGCAATTATAAAAATGTTTGGCTGAAAGTAAAATGAAAACAAAATAGCGAAGAAAACCAAAACTTCTGTTTATAATGACCTGAATACTGATAAGAACCTTAGGAGAAAAACACCACAAAAGCTAGTGCTACTGCAGCAATAGTTGGAGAGCCCCAAGTCTTTTAAAGCCAATACCTTTTTTGTGTGACTCACGACTCGTGCAATTGGATCCCTAACAAATACTTGGCATGTAATATTAAGCAAGTTTTTCTTCTCTTTCTTGAACAGATTGGTCCCAATGTTTCCATCTCAGCAAACGTTCGTGTAGGTGCTGGTGTCAGGTTAAGTGGTTGTATAATCTTGGATGATGTTGAAATTAAGGTATGGAACCGAAACCCTAGATATGTATGAGTATTTACAGTGTATAAGCAAATGTATTTGTTCTCCTGACAGGAAAATGTTTTTGTCACAAACTCCATTATTGGATGGAAGTCATCACTTGGAAGATGGTCACATGTGCAGGCAAGTTCAGTACATTTTTAATGAAACCAGTAATGTAGATAAATTTTAAACTAAATGAAGAGTTTCATTTCAATAGACATTTGAAATTTTAATTATTATAACCACTCTTGCTTACTATGGCTCACCAATAGTGAATTGAATGGTTCAGGCTGATGGTAACTACGATGCAAGACTTGGCACAACCATCTTAGGTACATATTCCTGCCTGCATAATCGCCTTTTGTTTATAAAGAGAACTGATATACAGTTGTGTTGGTGCTTTTGGTGATGTTCTTCAATTGAACATATAAGATTAGAGTTTCACCATATTAATCTGTGCAAAACTCTAACTTGGATTGGAAAACAATGCCAAAAGTATATGAAGAACAATATATCCTGTTAACAGCATTTCAGTAGTGACTTTTTCCTTTTCTCCTTTGTGATAATGATGATTTAGGCGAAGCTGTAACGGTTGAAGATGAAGTGGTAGTGTTCAACTGCATTGTGCTTCCACATAAAACTCTTAATGTCAGTGTGCAAGAAGAAATCATCTTGTAATCTGAAGAAGTGAGTTTTACTTGGTTACTCATCAAATGAAGAGGCTTGGAGCATTTTTGGTTTTACCATTTCTTTCTCCAATTTGTTTGATCTAGGAATGCAAGTTTAGATACACAACATACAAGTGTATGGAGTTATGTACATTACAATATATTTTTTTTCTCTTCCCAATTTTATTTATGTACACAAATGGACCTATGTACTAGAAGGTAACCACAAAATATCTGAACTAGTCTTTTTTGGGTAAAAGCAAATCCTAAAGGCCTACACTGTTACATCAATCACTTGCCAAAATTAGACTGAAGAAAACAGTTAGTACATGTTTGAATTAAAGTTTACAATGTTTGGATTAAACTTTAGTTTGACAAGCATAAATAAATTATATTTAGAAGAGTTTATTATATTTTTAGTATTATATAATTTTATCATGAATGATTTAGAAGTTAAATAATATTTATTAGCATTTTAATCTATATAAATAATTAATAGTTTAAGATTTTAAACACAAAAGTAAATATTCTCTCTTACCATCTTTTCTACCACACTTCTTTATATGTTCTCTTTTACTTTCTACTTTTTTGTTTAAGTTTTTGGAACAATTGTTGTGATATTCCAACATTTTTATCGGCTGATATGTATTCAAACACGTCATTATACAAAGTAAAAAAAGCAGAGTTTCATTGCATGTGTCAAAAGAACTTCAGTACATGACTATAATTAATTTAAAAACACATTATATTTTAGTAATTCTTTACTACTGATGATATTGGTGAAAAACATATTCAATTGATTTCTCAGAAAAATTAGACTCAACCTGTTTATAAATGATAAAAAGGTTGTCACGTATAGATCTAGTTATTAATATTAGTTCGAGAGTTACGTTTTCATTTAGATTTGGAACGTGTCTTATTTCAAATTTCTTATTTCAAACTACGTTGCTTTAAAACAGAAGTTGTCTATTCCCTTTAAAACTACGTTGGAGGCAACTGCTCTAGGCAACTTATATCATTTGCAAGAGTGATCATATGAAAAGCCATCACAAAACTCAATGACAGTGTCATGTCAAACCATCGCATTATGAGATTTTCCAAAGACATCCCCCATGAGAAGAATCATGAGACCAAATATGTCATTGCTAAGCTACTAAGACCATAGATTCTCACTTACCATTTTCACACACCTCACAAGGTTACAAACCCATCAACTTCATTTTCTATGTCTCAGTTAGTGTTGTCTCTCAAACATGTCATGAAACAATTAGTTCCTTCTCCTACTGAAATTAATTGTTGGAAACACGTGCAAAAATAGCGAGATAATATGCTTCTTCTAGTGAATTCCACATGTTCTTAAGGTCACCCTTCATCTGTTTCTGCTACATGCATGTCGGCCACACTTGTCTGCTACCTTTTATAAGATGTGCCCTCCAGTTAAATTGAGTATTTTTCAGCTTCCATAGTTTTCACTGAGTGAACAAAATGACACCGTAGTTTCCTGCTCAGTGTATGATTTTTGTTCAATTGGTAAATAGCTACCTTGGATGAATGAATAAGTGAATCCCCAATACTTGGGACTAATCCAAATTGGGGTGATTTCATGGAGCCAGTAGATAGGTAAATAAATACTAACCAATGTCGTAAAATACTAGTTAAGAACGATTAAACAAATATTACCTTACCATAATTGTTAATGCAATGTAATATTCTATAAAAAGCTTTCTATTCTTGATTCCTAGACCAACTCCAGGTAACAACTAACAAACAAGTCCTCAATAGACTTCTAAAATTTGTTCCTTAATGGTTATGTCAACTTTTTGCCAAATTATTTTAGTAGTTGTAAAGGATAACAAATATTGTTTTTGCAAATTGTTGAGCTCACTTCCAAAAAAGATTACACTCTCCCCTGCATAGAGGTATAAATCTGTACATGTACCTAGTCTATTAGAGACATGTTATACAATAACATAAGTGGACAAAGCAAAACTCATCTTTCAAGTACGTGAAAAAGGTAAATGAATGCTACACCAAAGCACAAAACAGACAAGGAGCCGCAGATGCTACAATCTCTCATGTCATCATAACAGCACTCTACAGAAGTCCACTGTCACAATTCCTCAACCAATGTAGCTCCTCTTTGCTCGGACATTCTCTTACCTGCACCAGTGAGAAAGCAGTCCAAGAGTAATCCATTCCTACCATCAATGGAGCAGTGCAGTTAAAAAATTCAGCAAAAAATCATCATAAATCAGTCCAAGAATTCCCTGTGGTTCAGCTTAAATAGGCAGCAGCCACTTGGTAATGAGTACTCTATTGTGGCCTCAATTCCAACTTGTAAGCTTGTATTTCCATGGGAGATATGGCTACATGCCCCTCTTGTGCAAGATCTCCAAATTGCTCTGAGAATCCCATTACTTCAGGGTCTTCATGCAAGAGATTCAAGGAAGTTGCTCTGGCTTTCGAGACTGTAAGACCCTTGAACATGCTGAACAGATTCACAGTCACATCTGCCAGATTAGTGCACTGTGATCTTCCCTTCCGGCAGTATGAAGAATCCCAATGTCGTCTGTGCAAAATTAGAGCAAATCTAGGACCTTCAGGTGGTTGCTGCAAAAATTTTAAAGGTTTGGGAACCTTGAAGTTCACTATGTGCAAGTCACACGGAAAAGGAGCAACAAGAGGAGAAAAGGATCTAGGTGGTGGCTTCACAGACTTGTCCTGTGATTTCTTGGAAATGAATGCATGTAATGGATAGTTCAAATGAGAACCAACACGGTGAGATAAAAGGGAAGGGCTGTAAGGGAAAGGGGTGGAAACCAAATTTGGTATGGCAGAAACATTAGTTTCCAAGGTTAGGTGGAAGACAGCATTCATCACACGGTTATCCATCACTCCTTGACCTAGACCACGACCATCATCTCTTATTAACCGACGATCAAGCATTATCTCTAGCCATCCATTTTTAAGGCTTGCCACACCTAATGATTGCCGGGAATGGACAGAAAACCGCTGACCATCTGATCCTTGTATGAATGCAAGAGAGGGCAGGGGATAGTAATTGCCTTGAAGAGGAATCTTATCATAAGTTTCTCTTCTGCTCATCTGAAATCCATTTAAATCTGAATAAAAAATCTTCTTGTTATCAATATCTGTTTTATATCTAACTATCAATTCCTTATCATTGAAATCCTGGCCAAGAAGCTCTACATGATATTCTTTTTCAATGACAAACCCTTGGACTGTACTCTCTCCACTATATATTCTGGTGCTATGAGAAATGGGGGCTTCCTCCCATGCTGTCCTTGGATAAGAGTATACTTCCTGCATCAAAGGGCCCTCTGCGATCAGCAATTGCCCCCCTTCTTCAATAATGGGCAGGGCATCACCATTGGGCTTGAACAAGTATGCCCCACCAGAACTAGAATACAAACCGATTTCCTCATTTACAGTATTTGGGGAACTATTTTTTGAGATTATCTTCTGTAACAAACCATTCTTTACATCAAAAGTTAGTTTTTGATGCCGATTCTCAATTTCAGCCACGTCAGCCTCTATTTTCACACAAGAATAGGGTGTAGGACAGGCAATCAAGTCAGACTTAGAGAAAATTTTCAACTTTGCAGGCTTGGCCTTTTCACACTCAGCAAAACCATTGGAAATATAATAAGTTTCCAATCCCAATGCAGGAACAGAAACTTCCCAGTAAAGTCGATGTTTCCCAGTAAATATCATGCTATCATGATGCTGCAACTCTGGCAAAATTTGGCTCTGAACACAACTCCAGTTACCATCAACAACAGTAACATCAGGACTGTCAACAACCATCATCACAACTTCTCCCCTGGTTTGCTCTAAAGGATTAAAAAAGACCACAGTTTGGTAAGAACTGTCATGAACACCAATCACTTTATGCAATGGTTGGGCATCATATTTAGATCTCACTATTGCTGGCTCAAACTGGGAAGGACCGTGGTCTAATTTATCAACACGAATTCCTAGAAGTGCTTCAACTGCCTTGGACATAAAAATCTGCAAGTCGAGAAAAGAAGTGTGCATGCGCATTCCATAGTCCATAACCACATGATCTTTTGCAGTTCCAGTTACCCCATCATGATGCTGAAAAAGAGCTAAGTTCCTTCTAGCAGCTGTCAACTTATAGGAAAATCCCATTGGAAACTTTTCACAATGTGATCTCTGACAGCAGCTAAGTATTAGAGCTACCATCATTTCAGTGGCACGAATTGTATGTTCTAGTACCCTATCAACAGCCTTGAAGAAGGGCCGTGAAACATAATAACCACTCCAGTAGTCATGTTGCCGATCAGAATAAGTAAAAAAGTCACCAGATAGAGAAGGAAAACCTTCTACTAGACCAGATCCTATTTCACCAGGAGATGAGTAATTTATTCTCTCTGCTTCCTCACGCAGTGTTACAAAGTAGTCTTCCAAAGTACCAAACTTTGCCTCTGCATTCAAACTGGGGTTTGAATTGATATAATCAAACAACATTTGATAATTTCTGAATTGGGCTTCTGCTTCTTCGACATTTATATACCGAAAATCATCTCCAAGAGGAACAAGAAGTGTATTGGTTCGGTACAAAGTTGACTTTTTCCTGTATTGATCCAGCAATTTAAGAGCTCTTTCTTGAACATTTTCCTGAGTGATCTCCACAGGATATTGCCCCCATGGGCATTGTTCATAAGCAAAACCCTGCATGCGTGCAAAGTCAAACTGACAACAAATAGCAGGCTCTGGGCCACATGTATGAGGTATATCATATGAATAAAAGGGCATCATGTGGACAAATATATCTGTGGTTTCTTCTGCATCCCAGCTTTGACGCCATATGTATTCTAAATTTTTATGCCACGCAAGCTCCTTCTTCAGCTCATAATGGGTTCTCTGGATAAGCATGTTGTCAAAACCCATTCGACGTAGAAGATATGCCATGGTGGATGAGTAACCAAACGGATCTATGGCCCAAGAATTTTTTGGAACAAACCCGATGGTGTCATTCAACCACATATTTCCCTCTGCTATCTGTAACATAATTGTCCAAATATTAAGCACAAATACAAAACAATACACAAATCTCTAGAGCAAATAGATCATAGTTTGATATGCACATGAAATCACAAAGACATGGACAAGCTGAGACAAGGAAGCATAATTTCCTCTTCTAACGAATGAATACCAAGTCCACTAATAATGAATTCAGCTGTAATAAGGAAAGGAATGCTCTCTAGAAGTTCACAATATACACAAGACCCTAGGCTCTATGTCTTGCTGAAGCTTATTTGAATCGCTGCTTGCAGCCACTAACCCAACGTCTGAGATACCAATTTTAATAATAAACTATCCATAAAATACAGCTCCGATAACAGAATATTGCAAGTAAAAATATACATGTTTATAAATACATACATACATACATACATACATACATGCATACACACACATATAGATAGATAGTAGATAGATAGGTAGATAGATATAAATATATAACATACTTTTGCATCAACCTACATAGCACGTTATAATACCTGATTAAATTATCTAAAAAAACAGTAAAACAATGTTTTTTTTTTAAATTTAATTACCACTAGTACTATTAGGTACATGATAAAATGCATTCCGACAAACTAACTACAAGTTCTAGTTTTAAAATAATAACATTATAAAACACATAGAATATTTACTAGAACAAAACACCTTTAAGACAAAATAGATCACAACTTTACATTCATATAATGAGCCAGTTCTTTTAAGTAATTTCACTGATCAACTAAAAAGGTATAGAAGCATTACATCCATCAACAGGCCAGCCAAATACCATGCATAATGATGCACTACAACATGAAAAACTACTTGGACTGCCTTTTTTTCTTCATTAATTATCAACCATAAAAAAATTAAAGCAAAACAGCTAAGAAATAACTAATATGTACAATTGCAAAAATAGGTAAAACTTAGCATACCTGTTCAATTATAGCAAAATAATGGGAATTGGCCTGCAGGAATGAGAAAACAATCAAAATGTCAATTTTCCAAAAATAATAAGGCCACCAGTAATCAACTTTGTTTACAGGAATTTTCATTTGGATATAATTATTCCAAAGACATGTATGTTCCTAGAACTTAAACTTCATTAATAGGAGAGGAAACTGGAATATCCATTAATTCAAAAACCTTAAACAACAAAACAATATGACGGAAAGCATCATACCTTCCACAAATTCTCAGATCATAATAATTTACTCAGCAGGAATGAAGCATCAACATATACATATATGCTATTTGCTGTAACAAGAAAAGTGTCAGAATATCAACATAATATTACCTCATCATTCATCACCCAGCCACCTCCAACAATTTCCAACTGTCCATTTTTTACCAAATTGATGAAGGATTCCTTCATCTCATCAGATGCATCCCTCCACCATCTCTCTAAGTAGGACATTTCCTCCCATATGAACTTTCTGCGAGAATCCTACATACCCCAATCATCAAGTCAATATCATAGCACAAGTTTCTCTAAAACACAAGATTTAAAACAAAAGGAGCCACCTATGGAATTGACAGCTTTATACGCTCCATTTTATTCAGGCTTATAATCTCTTTCCTACATCCTAACATGCAAATGTTATCAAATAAAAAACAAACATTTACGTTTAAGGCCTATCACTTTCGTTATACATGCTCTGCTGGGTGCATAATCTGCAGTTTCAAAGCAGCAAGTTAACTACAATCCAGAAAGACAAATTTACTCAACCACTCCGTTGTCCATTCTAGTGGGCTCTTGTTAACTAAAACACTTGTATCCTCTAATCTAACATTTAAATAATAATATTAAAATATTTAATTTTAAGTCATACCCTTTTTGTCATCACATGCAGTGCCCCATCATTCATTTGCAGCTTTAAAGTACCTAGTTAAGTAGCTAAAACGTTCAACACAAAAAAAAAAAAAAATTGTACCATCTGATCTCCCCCAATTTCACTCACAACATAAGGCACAACCCACTAACACAAAATCCATTCAATCACTGCAAATCACTCAATAAAGTAAACTAAAGCTCTCCCCACACACGCATCTCATGAACCAAATACCAACCTTACTTAACTAACTGCAGTTACCCACATACAGAGTTTAACAATCATGCTTTGTGAATGCAAAAGTTTTTATATCGTCAAATAATAAAAAAATCATCCTTAGTAGGGCTTTCAAATTTACTCTATTATGAATGTCAACAAACTTTTCATACGTGACAATCTGTAATTGGATCATAATGTATAAAGTGTTAAAAAGCTTACTTCCACTGAGATACAAATCACTTTATTATGAAAGTCATCAAACTTCTGAGACACAAAGATTTGTAATTGAATGACAATGTATAGAGTGTTACAAACTTATCACATATGATGATCTCTGTTAAGTCGTCAACATAAATACTCTTACTGGCTAAATAGCTTACTCTACTTGTAGAAATCAATAATGCAGGCTTATCTTTGGACAGTGCAAACAGGGCCAATGCATGTATTGTTTAGAGTAAACTATATACTAATACTCCTGAATTTTCGTCAAATTTTTCTTTCACACCCCTCCTTTTTGTCACCTAACACAAGTTCTCCTTGATTGTTTAAAAAACATTACACGTACACCTCTTGATATTTGAAAAACATTGTAACTTAATATATCATTTACATTAAAAAAAGCAAAAAGAAACTCCAAACCCCATAAAAGCAAGGATGAGACGTCATTTGACCTTGGTCAGTGTTTGCACAATGGTATCAAGTATGTGTCTTGATTGCCTATCATAGTACTCCTCCACAGTGAGCTTCCACCCAGGATCATTGTGCGAGTGGGGCACCACGAACACCTTCAGCTTCTCCGCGTCCCACTCGTTCCCCCTGTACGTGACACTCCACCCCTGCTTCCACGCGCCGCCGTCAACGTCCAAAAACTCAATCTTGTCATACAGCTCCTTGGTGGTGATGTCGACTGGGGCGGCGCCAGCGATCGCGCTAGTGTTATAGACGGTGGGAAGGGGCCTCCGGCCAAAGGCCTTCCGGGCGCGTGAGGTGCGCGTGCGGAAGTGCGTGGTGATGGGTTTGGGGACCCCGAATCGGAAGAGGATGAGGAGGAACAAGGAGAGGGAGATAACGAGGCCAATGGTGAAGAAATTAGAAAATATGAAGTCTTTGAGCAACGCGCGTCGTCTTCCCTTTCTGGGTGCCTTGGATTTGGGGTTGGAAGAAGGGAGGATCGAGGAGGCCCAGGTTGTTCCGCGGCGAGAGGAGAAGGCCATGTTTGGTTTGGCGAATTAGGAATTGGGATGTGCAAAGAAAACACGGTTTTGGTGGGGATCTGTGACAGAGATGAAGTAAGGGTTTGGAATGTAAGAAACTCAAATCATGGAAGTTTCGACCTGGGAGTGAGTTTTTTGGGTTGTCTTTCTGTGTGTGTCTGTGTTCTTGAGTGAACAGTGTGTAGATGGAAATGGAATTGGCATTAGTGGGATATTTTGATGGTACTTTGGAATTGTCAATGTGTTTTGGTTTTGGAAGGTGACTATGTTGTGGTGGTGTTTTCTGTTATTGCACAAAGACTTGGAACCTTTGTCTCATGAAGAAAAGTATTTGTGTTTAGTGATTCTTTAGAGGGGAAAATTAATTTTAAGACATATTAAGTTTAAATTTGACCAAAATTGGTGATTTCAATTTTTATATTTTGAAAATTTTATGATATTTTGTAAAATATTATTTATTCTTATGAAAAAAATCTCAACTGGTATTTTAGTATTTTTTATTGTTCTGAAAAAAATACTTGCTTTATAGAACTAAAATGTATACTAAATAAATACTTCTAAATGTAAAATTTAAAATAATTTTATATTTATGATAAATAATTTACATTGTAATACAGTCAGTGTTAATGTTGATGATTGATTAAAAAGATTCAAAAATATTGAAATTTAAGATAAAATTTAAAGCCCTCAATATAATATATAAAAACAATTAAGAGATTAAGAAAATTCTATAAAACACTTTTATGGAGTAAGATTATTACTATGATTTATATGAAGACGAGTTTTCATCTTATGTTTAAAATAACTACTTTTAGTCATTATAAATAAGTAAAAATTATTTTTGGGTTCATAAAATATTTTTTAGTTTTCATCTTTTCAAATTTAAAAATAATTATTTTTGGTTCTAATAATTTTTTTAGATAAATAAGCAGTATTACTTAGGAGTATAGAAAACATTTTAAAGTTATCATATGCTAAGACATTAATATAGGATTTGAGATTAATTTTTTCATTTTGTTAAACACACTCGACAATGTGGATTAAACATAAGGATGTCTTTTTTTTTTTTAATGAATAAAAAAATAGAAAAACCAAAATTAAAACCTATTAATTTTATTCTATATTTGTCTAAGAAAACTACTTTCAGAACCAACACTCATTAACTAAAAGTAGTGAAATTATAAGCAAAATATGCTTAGAATTACAATTCACTTTAAATATGTACCTATAAGTATTGGGAATTTTGATTAACAGATTCCTTATAGTTAAAGTTAATTATGAAAGGTGGTACTATAACATGTTTGAACAAAGTTTTTTTTTAAAAAGAAATATAGGGAAAAAAAAGTCTCTTTAACGTAACTTCGGGAAACAAGTTTTATGGTTATGCTGGAAATTATTATTAATTAAATTTTATCTTTTACTCACTTTATTTATGTTTATGTTGTGTTTGATGAAGTAGAAATAGGTTAAAAGTTAGAAAGAAAAAAGATATATATATATATATATATATATATATATATATATATATATATATAATATGTAAAAAGTTTTTAACTATTTTCGAGACTCAAAATAATTATAACACTGTTTTCTAATAAAAACTTATATATATATATATATATATGTATATATATATATATATATATATATATTATTAATTATTATTTTTATAAAATTATATACTATGATAAAATAGATTAGACGATTTTATTTTAATCATTTTTAACCCATTAAAAAATGGAGAATGGGTACGATAATTAAAATAAATTATAGATGATGACATATTAATTTGTTGATATATATATATATATATATATATATATATATATATATATATATTTTTTTTTTATAAAAAAAATTTATATATTTTTTAAAATATATTTTTAATTATATGAATATATTTAAGTTTGTATTTATTAATTAATATTTAAATATTTAATTATATAAATATATTAAAAAATTATTATATTTAAATAATTAATTATAATTAATAATTTAAATTTAAATTATTAATATTTATAATTTAAATTATAATATTATTAATATATTTATATATTTTAATAACATGATTAAAAAAATATAATATTTTAAATTATAATTTTTTAATTTTAATATATAAATATTTTTTAAAATAAACCTAATTAACCAGCATGTTCGTCTCGTTTCAACCTATTAGACGAAATAAATTAAAATAACTGATAAGTTAAAATTATTAACCTATGGGACTAACTGTTTTACTATCTTTTTTATTATCATATATACTATTACATATCTAAATAATAAATTAACAAAATAAATATTAAAAAATTTATCATGTAAATTGATTTAATAATAATTTATGCATTTATTAAGATAATATAATAAAATTTGAGCAACCAACTTATTACTTGAGAATTATAAAAAATTGTCCAATTTGCCATTATTTACTCCTTGACCAAAAATTATCTTTCATTGTCCAACTATGTTATAATGAGATTAAGATACGAAACTCTTATAATTTTAATCATTAAGAATTCTAAGGTGAAGAAGCAAATAAAATGTAGGCAAGAAGATATTTCTTTAATCTGTATAGTGTTTATAAAGATATCTTCTTATATTTTATCTTAATTTCTTGTTTTTAAGTATCTTTAATTTATAATGAATCTCATTATATTCTTTTAAGTTTTTTTTTTAAATAATTTTCAGATGTTTAATCCTGAACACAATAGTTTAATATAAATTTGTTGTTAAAAACTATAAATAAATTTTGAAAATTTATTTCAGTTACTCAAATTCAGTGTCTAAAGTTTATAGATATAATGTTTTTAATTTAAGAATTTAAAATACTTAAAAAAAAAAAAAGGATCAAAATTATACGGTCTCGAAATTAAAGCATTACAAATATAATTAAACCTTATTGCTGTAATCATGTGAATTTAAATTCTTTAAGCAATGTTTTGTATTGAAATTTTGTGGATAGAAAATCATAATTGAAAAAGATAAATCTCACTGAAAATTAGTTAAATCATCCTATAAATTAATCATAAAAAAAATTGATGACTACTAACATGGTTAAAGTTAAAAGTAAAAAAGAAAAGAAAAACTATATAAAAATAGTCAAATGATAAGAAATACAATAAATAAAATACTAACAATCATTAAATCAAACTTAATGTTCTGAATTGATCATGTTTTAAGGTGGTTTAACGGATAAGATTAAATGAACCCGACAATAAAGACATTCCATTAATTATGTTAGTTTTTGTTCCTTTAATCATGTTATAAAGAGGGAAAAAAACAATAATAAAATTTTATCTTTATTAATTTAGTTTTGACTAGTTTTATATTTTTATAATAATTTTTTCCATTTCCTTTTATGTATTTTCTCTCTATCTCTTCTTCTTAATTCTACTAATTTGGAATTTTCTTTATTATTGTTACCAGAAATGAAACTTGCATATAAATATATTTACTTATTTTAATGAAATGAAATGAATATGTATATATATTAAAATATAAATATTATTTATAAAATAACTATTAAATATGAAAAATATTTATAAAAAATCTTATAAATATTATATATTATTTTAATGTAAGATTTACTGTTAGAATTGCTTAAAATAAACGTGTTATCTGTATAAATAATTCTGTCCGTGAAAGTTATATTAAAATAATACAAGTTGAAGAGGACGTGTGCGATGAGAAAAATAAAACAGAGAAATGATAATTTTTAATTATTTTATCTATACATAAAAAGTTAAAGAAACATGTGAATGAAAAGGTAAAGAACAAAATCTTTAATTAATTTTATTTATTTAATGAGAAAAATAAAAAAGGTAATTAAAAAGAAAATATAAAATAAATATTTCGCCAAAATATCCCATCAAAATAATTTAAGAAAAACAAAGAAACCCATATATGATGTATATTTTGATTAAATCCAATTTTAATAATAATGATTAGACATCATTTCAGGTAATATAAGCTCTGTCTTGATGGACGGCAATAAACAAACCACGTGGCAATTGCTACTACAAATTAAAATCTCATCTCCCATCTTATCATCATCATCGTGATCATCTCTTGTGGAGATAAAAACCTTTGATTGAACCCTACACTATCAACGGTAACACATGATCGTCATGGACTTTTTGTCCCATCATGTTATTTTTTATCACACACTATTGTAATGCGTGCGATATCAAATTTAAATTGATAATATAGTAAAAATTAAAATAGTTTTATTTTTATATTTGTGAAGTTGGGTGTAAAGTAGGAGATTCTAAGGTTCAAATAATATATTATTAATAAATAATAAATAAATATAAAAAGAAGAAAGAAAATGAAAGGGTAAAAGGATAAAATTATAGATATATATTTAAATATATTAAATGATCATTAAGTTTGAGGAGGACAAAGTTATAAATTTCATGGGAGTTACAAAATTAAGGAAGGACTGAGAGGATAGAATTGTAAATATATAAGTAAATATATTAAATATTTATTAAGTTTAGGGAGCAAAATCATAAATTAGAGATATAAAACTTTGGGGCCACGCCCCTCAGCTCTCTCAAGAAGATCCCGCACTGATGAATGGCATGTGGTGTTAGGAAGAATCCAAGCCACAAATTGAGATTCGAAAAGTGGTCCACTTTCAAGTATTTAGTGAGTTCTATTGGTGTTTGGAATTAGAAAGGGACCTACTTTAGATGCACACTTCTTGTTTCCTTCTATTGGACTCACTACAAGTTAAACATGTATTATTTTGTGTTATATTTTGTTTCTTCTGTCATCACACATACTCATCCTTATCCTTTCCGCATGTTGTTTTTTTAATTTTTGGGGAAAACTTGGTGTTTCATATTTTTTTTCTCGCCTTATCAAAGGTGTTGTAGATATATTATTATAAACTAAAAAAAAGGATAATAATTAATTAACATTCATTTTTTAATTCAAAGACAATTATACTCCTTAAAATTCCAATCACAAAATATATCTCTATTTTTAAGTGTGACTGAGATCTTACTTTCCTATCTTATATGATTTTTTTTTAATAGATTCTTCTATACTATATAAGACAAAACATCTTTAACACTAAAAGTACTTTTGGTTTTGATTTAAAACTTGAAATGACATATAGAGAGAGATGAGCTAGTTTTCAAAATAATTACTTTTATTTGTTAATATTAATTTGAACAATATGATGTTATTTTGTTAATAACTTGCATCATTCGTATATTTTTATTTTGTATGTACTTTTTTAATTAATTGTTAGGGTTTGGTGTTGTAGTTTGCGGTTGGGAAGGCAAGAAAGAGCAACGTCAGAAGATTCTTCTTCTCAAATTCAGAATCACCAGTGCAGAGGGGAGAATCTGTAATTATGTCAAATGTCAGGGGCACATTTCAATATATTGTCACATAAACGTTTATGAATGTAATATTTTTTTTAAGTCATTCTCTGATGAAAAACTAATAAATAATATAAAATTTGTGAAATATAAAATCATATATAATAAAAATTAGATAATTTAGATAACATAAAACATAAAACAAATAAAATTTCAAGTTTTAGATAAATAATTGAACCTAAAATACTAATATAATTTATTCGATCCAACGCTTACAAGTTGAGATTATAAATAATTATATATATATATATATATATATATATATATTTATTTTTATTTTATTTTTTTTTTCGGTGTCGAGTACATCTCTTAAGGGATAAAAACTTTGTGACGTTTTAAATTATCTGATAAAATCATAAGAGATTAAAATTTTAAAATTAACAATAATTCAAATATAATAATTAATCCTATCATCATGAAATTGAAATTCTTATATTTAAATAAAACATGATTTGTATATTATCATAAAATGAAATCTATTGAAAGCAATTAAACAAAAAACTATATATATATATATATATATATATATATATATATATAAAAAAAAACTTTTATTTAATTGTTGATGGCCATGTACTAAAAAATGACCAATTTTTAAGGCACGAGTTTGATAGATACCTAACATCAACAGAGTTACTTTCAAATTATGAATAATTAAAAAAATCAGTATTTTAAAAGTAACTATTATAAACTTAATAATTTGAAAGTAAATAACATTGCATGTATTTGTTGACACAATTCAAACATAAATAAGATTAGATTAGGCATCTACTTGATTTTTAATATTTTCTAAAAAAAATTATTGAAAAATTATTTATCATAAATTTATATATTTAAAACAAAAATTTTGTTACAAATTTTAAATACAGTATATTTATCTACTTAAAAAAATAATTTAGAGAATTTGTTGTTTAACGTAAGAAAAATTTATTCTTACCTTCTCACGAGACCAAATATATGGAAAACTTCGATTTGAAGTACAGAACATTTTGGGAAGAGCATTATTTTATGTAGATGTTATTTTATAAATACACGAACCAAACATAGGAAACTAGCATTCCTAATTCAGTTTTTTTTTTTTAAATCTTCTACCAAACATCCTTAAAGTAAATAGAATAAATGGATGATTCAATGTCTGTAGCATCTAAAACTAAAATTTTTAGATTTTATTGCAACAACATTGACCAAAATAAATAGAAAATTTAAAAATATAAATAAAACCTTAATAATTTCAAAATTTAAACAATACTTAATTCTTAAAATAATTAGTGGATGGTTGCAAAGACGCGCAAGAATCCGGTTCAATGTTAAAGCGGTTGAACCGAACCGAACCGTTTGGTGGAGTTGGGTTGGGAAGTAACAGAACAAGATCACTATGTAAATAAAAACGCAGCGTTTGGAGATGCAAAGAGAGATTCATACGTAGATAGATAGAAAGATAAGCTGGGTTTACCTCACCCGCAGTAGGACGATTCCATGGCACTCTCCTTTCGGCCCGTCGTCCACCCCCGCGTCACCGACCGGTCACTCTTCCAGTTCCTCCCTCCCAAGCCTCCTCCTCTTCCGCCGCCCTCCGTTCACCTCCTTCCGCTCACGCGCCGGCGCCGCTTCCTCCCATACTGCCTCGTCGACGGCTTCTCCGACGACGCCGTCTCCACGCGCAACTTCGACCGCGGATTCACCGTCATCGCGGCCATGCTCCGCCGCATCGAGCCCCTCGATAACTCCGCCATCTCCAAGGGCGTGTCGCCCGCCGCGCGCGACTCCATGAAGCAGACAATCTCCACCATGCTCGGCCTCCTTCCCTCCGACCACTTCTCCGTCACCGTCTCTGTCTCCAAACACCCCCTCCATCGCCTCCTCTTCTCCTCCATCGTCACCGGGTAACGAACAACAACACTCTCTCTAATTAATTTGTTGGAGATTTTTTTTCTCTCGTTCAATTTCTACCGTAGCACCAATTTCATGACCAAATCTGTTGAAAGTATAAGATTCTTGTTATAGATGAATTTCTCGTTAAACATTCGTTGAACAAAGGTAAAATGAATTGAAATTCTCTTGTGATCTAACTAGCTAAAATCAACTTTTGTATTTCATCTTTCAAAGAAGTTTGATTGAGCGATTTTCTAAATGACAAGTGCATGAATTGATTTTAGGTTATGAGAGAAGCTTAATTCGTTTTATGTATTTAATCTTTGAGAACTTGTAACAGAAAATAAGAAAGTAAAATGAATTGAACTTCTTTCGTGAGCTAATGAGCTCAAATCAAACTGTGTATGAATTTATTTTAGATTACAAGATAGAAGCTTAATTCATTTTATGTGTTTAATCTTTGAGCACTCGCAAAAAGGAGAAAATAAGAAGGTAAATTGAATTGATTTTGTGAGCTAACTAGGCTAAACCAACTTGTGTACTTCATCTTTCAAAGAAGTTAGGTGAGAGAAATTTTGTAAAAGGCAAAATCATGAATTAATTTAGGTTACCAAGAGAAGCATAATTCATTTTATGTAACTCATAAATTAAGAAGGGAACATGAACTGAACTACTTCTCTAGTGTCATTACGAGCTTATTTCATTTTAAGCACATTGGCTCACTAGCACAGGGGAAGTTCAATTCATTTTAGTTTTTTTTTCTTATATAAGAGTTTGCATGTTTAATGTTTTTAAAAATAATTTTCAGTTTTTTAATTTTTTAAAAACTAAAAGACTTGTTTAATATCTGTTTAATAGTTTTCAAAAACTATTGTTTATAGCTTTTAAAAAACTAAAGAAATCAAAATTGATAAAACGTGTTTTCCCTACTCATTAAGGGTATGCGTGCATTTATCAATAGTTGTACTACATCACTCGTTTTATCATCATCAAGTTATTAAAATCGTTTTTTAACTTTCATGGCGACCTTTAGTTGTCGGCATCCTATCCTCTTTCATCTAAAACAATTTTGAAAAATTATCAAACAAGCTTTTTTCCAATTTATTTTTAAAAATAGTTTTGCAAAATTGATATCTAAATCTATTTTTAACAACTAAAAAATAAAACTGAATCAAACAGCTGGAAGGAGAGGGAAATGTTAAGGTAAGATGGATTAGGCTTGTTTTGTTTGGACAAAATTCCTTTTAAGCACCTATAGAGGAAAAGGAAAAATGAATTGAGCTAAATTTCTCTATAAATTGATTTTCTTGCATAAGTAAAAATAGAGAAAGCTGAATATATGCCTTTTTTTTTTCTTATCTTCTAAGTGCTTATGGAGATTTGTATTAAGGCAAGACTTTAAATTTTTCGTAGAAGTTAAAATCAAATTATGCACCTTATCTTTTGAAGATGTCAGAATTATTGTAAAAGTTAAAGTGCACAATTGGTTTTGACATACGGGAAAAGCTTCTTTTGTTTTGTTCTTTTCCCCTTGTAAGTGCTTTGTAAGAAGTTTTTCCGTTAAGGTCCAAGGTAGTGACACAATGAAAAAATCTATGATAAATTTAGTTAATATGTTTTTTAAGATAACAATATAGTAAAGTATGTGATTCTGGGATAGTTTCTGGGCTATATTGAAGGATTTTGTTTTGATTGAACTTTTATTTTCTTCTTTGTTAGGTACACTTTATGGAATGCGGAGTACAGGATGTCTCTGACTAGGAATCTTGATATGTCGGGTTCCAGGGATGAGGGGTCGGATTGTGCAACACATTCGGAGGTTTTGGAGGTGAAGGATGGAGCAAAAGCAGAGGGTAATGAGAAAATTGAGGTTGTTAATCATTTTGAAAATTGCAGCGGCAGTGGTGCACTGAAAGAGTTTGGAGATTTGCCTCCTCAAGCTTTGAGTTACATCCAGCAGTTGCAGTCTGAGTTGACAAGCTTGACGGAGGTAACCTTTCTTCTTTTTGTTTACTCCAATTTTTTAAACACAATGATTGTTGATTAGCTGGATTTATTAGGGTGTTAAATGTTTGCTTCTTATGTGTGTGCCTGGTAAGTTGGATTTTGAGTTGGAGTGAATAGTTATTTAGAGCATGTAAAATATATTATTTTTTTCTAGCCAAATATGCTTGGTTCAGTACGGTTTCTGCTGATAATGACTTTTGTTTTAGATGAGGGATTTTGGAGGGGAAGGAGATAATTTTTCATTTTTAAGTTGAGAAGTATGAAATGATTATAAAAAAGGAATAGTATACAATAATTTCTCATAGTAGTTTTTTTTTTTTATAAAATTTGGCAAACAAGGGGGATTTTTACTTAAAATGAAGAAAAACTTGCTGCTTCCCACACCTCTGCTCCAAACTCCTCCATCCAAACATGCCCTAACTAAATATAAATAGTGAGTTTTGCTTCAATTACTTTGAAAGTTATTAAGGTAGAGATACTAAGGAAATTTCTCTCAGCAAGAATGGAAAGGGATGCTTCTTTTGGCTTTTGAAGGCTTACAATGGCATAATCTAATTAACGGCATAAGGAGGCACTGGTCCCTTTATGTAGTCTAAGGATTGACTTTACTTTCACTCTCTTTTGTCCGTGCTCCAAAAGAACGGAAGAAGTGTCTTACAACTCGTGGGATCGTTTAAAAGTAAAGCTTAAAGACTGAAAGGTGATGTAGATATGTTACCTTTTGTTTTCAGGAGCTGAATGCCCAAAAGCAGGAAATGATGCAATTAGAATATGACAAAGGAAACTGGAACAATTTGCTGGAATATCTTCGGTCTCTGGATCCTGATATGGTAACCTCTCTGCTTCAATTTAATTTGTATTTCTCTGCACTTGATAGTTTGCAAAAATGTCCTTCCCTCCTCTCTCTCACTCATTTCCATTAATTTAGGTACTGTCTTGTTTTACTTATGAATCTTTTATTGTATAACTTGTGTGCCAGGTTACTGAACTGTCTCGGCCTTCATCAGTAGAAGTGGAGGATATAATTCACCAACTTGTTCAGAACATATTGAGAAGATTCTTTGTAGATGATGCTAGCTCTAATTTCACGGAACAATCAGTGGAAGGAAACATAGACAATCTCTCAGACAGTGCTGAGGAGTTTAGTAATACAGTAGCCACTTCTCGGGATTACCTCGCAAAATTACTTTTCTGGTTAGTTCATGTCATTTTCATTGCCCTTTTAAACTGTTAGAGAAGATCCGAGTGATTTATATTCTAAAGTTAATTATACACATTAATGTTATCGAAACTGGACTATTCATTAAACGGTGAAAACACTAGTTCACATTCATATTTAAAATAAGTAAGGGTTTAACCAATAATTAATTCGTATGTTCTACTACTGTATTAAAATAAATAAACATGTTTATAAACAAATATAAAATTAAGAAAAATAAGTTTCGTGAGATTTTAAAATAACATACATAAAAGGATCATATTACATGTCTTATAATTTAAAAAAACTTCGTTCAAACCGTTTCTTGTGCTGGTTCTTGACCATCTTTTTGCTTCCCTGTCTAGTTAAGCCACTTAAGTCGAACCTGGTTGAACTAGTCGGTTTGATTCAATTCATGAACAATTATATACATGGTTCTTAAATTTTTTCATACATTTTGTAAGCACATATAGATACAGTTTCCTTACTTTGCTTAATCAGTAGAGCCCTTGTTACTTTAGCCTGTTACGTCTTTTTGTGTCTAATCACCCTGAAATTTTCTATATTGGCAGGTGTATGTTATTGGGTCACCACTTGAGAGGGTTGGAAAATAGATTGCATCTGAGTTGTGTTGTTGGATTGTTATAGAGAAGGTGATAGACATGTATATTCTTTTCTTCCTCTTTTTCTTTCATCCCTTCTCCTTTCTCATAAATTTTTTTCTGTTCATTGAAAAAGTCTGAGTGTGAAATAAATAATCACATGCCCTCCTTCTCTTCATACCAAGCATTAAAGCATGCCTCTCTCATGTTTATGCTTGCATGATTAATGTGGTTTACGGAAACGGTAGCAGCACGCCTCAAGAAACGAGATTGAATGTGAATAGACAGCACCATACTCAATCTACTTAAGATGTTATGCAACGAACATTAAGGGTTCGATTTATTTATACAAGCTTCTCCAAAACATGAAGAAGAAAATATCTTTGATAAGCATTTTGAAAGTTACTTCAATTGAGTTAATATTAAGTTTTATATTTAGGAATACTCTAATCTGAGTCTGATTTTATGTAGGCCTAAGATATTAAATGCAAATTCAACATGGCGTAGCATGGTCAATGATAATTAATGATACTGTGACTGTTTAGCATGATATTGACTGTAACTCTCTTCCAAGCATGGTCAAGGATTGCAAAAACTTCTTAAAATGTAATAATTTATTAATACTCGTACTCCTTCTGCGTCTTTTCTATTTCTCTACTTTTAAAGGTAATTTTTACTTCTGTTAAAATATAAGATAAATTTGTATTTTTTTTCCTCATAATTCCCAATTTCCCACATTAATAATAGAGATTATATTAGAAAGTTAAAATTTCTTTTAATATAAATGAAGATTGCTTGAGGGGTAAATAATGAAAAGTTTTTATTAAAAATCATGTTATTAACCCATTTCTCTTATGCTTTCAATCTAATATTATAATAATAATAATAGACATAATAATTTAACTATCTTTATTATTATGTTAATAAAACAGTTGTGTGGTGTTTTTTTTTCAGATAAGAGTTATCAACGTTTATTTTTCCCTTAGAAATTATAGTAAACGCATATTAATTACATTTATTTGATAAATTTCCTTTTACTTATAATTGCTCGGTCACTGTCCTTATGTAACTGTCAATATTTATCCTTTTTGGCACCGGATTGTGTCCAATATAGAATTTATAGTTTAATGCAGAAAAATACTACATTCCTAAAGATTTCAGGCTACATATATTTCATTTTTTGGTAAGTTCTACACTGATTATAATTTTAAATTCATTCATTTGCATTGACATTCATCTCAATTATACTTCAGTCTGCTAACTTCAAAAGTGCACACAGACAGAAGTTTGATATTTTTCTAAGGTTTCATTAGGGCTTTTATGAATTTTCAAAGGTTATAATTTTTTTTTAATCAACAACATAACTTTATATTCCATAAACGGTTTGCAACGAAAGAGATGATAATATTAAAAAAGATGTATCCTTATTCATATTCACTACATAAAAGTATGTCATGAAGTGGAACTTGCCAGATGAATTACTCCACCTCCATAAAATCTAATTAAAAAAAAAAAAGATTAAAAACTTGCAGAGCATGTTCTCTTACATTTACACGTGCCCTTTACATTAATTGAACTTTATTTTATGTATAAAGTTGTCGATGATTATAAATGTGACTCAAAAAGTTTTACTTTGTATATAATGTTTTCAAGTCTAGATTTTATTCTAATTTAGTACAATTTTTAATTTTCCTTGTATGAATATGCTAGCAATGAGGAAGATAAAATTAATGAAATACAAAATTCTATTTCTAAAAATATATTCTTTCTAAATTTTTTCTGAAATATATAGTTTATATTATTATTTTTTAAAATGTCTTATTTTTTAGTTTTTTAAAATTAAAAAAAATATTTTAGTCTCTAAACGTTAAATTAAAGAGAACTGCATGTTTTTTCAATTTTAAAAATTAAAAAAAAGTGGGGGAACAAAACTAAATTTGCCCTAAATTTCATAGAATAAAAATATAATTCAACCTTATTCAGACGTGATGTGAATTTTCTTTGGTCATTGTCCTATAGCTTTTGTTTTGTGGAACCTGACACATTAGCCAGCAAGACATTGTTCCAATATTCTAAGTTTTCACATGCTATAATTGGTTGATTGTTGGATCATAATGTTGTGGAAACTGTTCTTCTCATTTTGGTTCCCCCCCCTCTCTTCTCTTTTGTTTATGACTTACAGCTAAGTAATAACCAGCATCATTTCTTTGAGAGAAAAGGGTCGTGACCCACAATATAATAAATATTTTCTCTGTAGCAGTTGAAGCAATAAATTAGACTAACATCCTCTTACAATAGTTTTAGAATTTAATCACATGTTAACTTTTATAGTAACTACTGTACATAGAATGATTTGGATGATACAAAACTTCATTCATGCGATTCCTGATACTATCTTCATTTCACAAATATAGTTGTTTTAGTAATTTAGTTTTTTTTAAAAGGTATCAACAAACATTACAAAATCTTTTGATTGTTCTGTCTATACAAGAAAAAAATTTCAGAACAAATGAATAAGATGAACCAATATAAAATAATGTGCTAAAATGATGAATGTATTATGCCAGTAGCAATTCTGTGATGGTGAGGGGGTATATAGAGATCATAAGGTGCCCAAAGAAAGTCCACTGAGCAAGGCTTCTTAGCATCAAGCCTTGTCCATGGTTTCCCTTTACCACTCCAATGTAGCAAACTCACTGGACCAGGATGCAAAGTCCTACAGCTATTTCTAACATTATCCCCTCCTAGACCATGTTGGTTCCATCTGTGCTCAATAGCCTCAACATCACCACCAAAAGCCAACAAAAAAGGAGGGAGTGACCCTAACTTATAGATCCTTCTCTCCTTTTGAATCTCCATCCACTTTTCAATCTTCCTTGTGTAGTCACCCTCTCTCCACCTCACCAAGTCCATCACCATCACCCCAGTGTTGAAGTAACAAGGCCTTTTCCCTTGAAATACCGCAGAAAACTCAGCACTAGACCAAAACTCATAGGAGAAGTATCTGGTGAAGTTTGCATGGCAATATTCAGGAGCGCCAATGACTCTTGACGCGGTCAATGAAACCTTCCAAAGCTCTTGAACATCATCAACAACTATAACATCAGAGTCCAAGTATATAACCCTCTCAATGCAGGGATCAAGCAAATCAGCCAGGTAACTTCTTGCATAGTTAAGAGGGTCGTCAAGTGCTTGCCTAATTGAGGGAGATATGAGATTGCCAACTAGACTTTGTTCAAACACATGAACTTTAAATCTCAAGGAAGGAAAGGAGGTGTGAACAATCCTTTCAAACTCATCCCTGCTCTCCAATCTTGCATCTGATGCAATGAAGTGAAAGAACAGATTCTGAGGGCAGGAAGTGTGTTTCACAACAGAGTGCACAGCAGCAATAGATCCTCTCAAGTAGTGCCAATCAATGGTCACTGCAATATGCACAAGTGAAGGGTCACATGATGCCATTGGCACATTGCTTGTATCAACCAGGGTACACTTTTGCTGGTTTCTGTATTCTGGGGCCTCTCTGAATTTCACAAAGGAACCAACTTCAACCTCAGTTTGATAACCATTTTCTGTGGCAAAAGATCTAATTCCACTGGCTGGAAAGAGAAGCAAGCAAGCTGATAACACAGAAACAAACACAAAAGTTGCTAATCCAGAGAGAAACATCACTATTCACTCACTACTAAACGTTTTAATTGAGAGAACAAAATGGATTAAGGGAAGAGAAATTGAGACAATTGGATTTGGCAAAACAAGAGAAAAGGCAAAAGGGTATATATATATACAAATATATAAACAAATGGAACACAAGAATTGAAACGCGTTTGTTAGCAATTCTTATTCTGGAGAATAAACGCGTTTTTCTTTATGATGTCATGTGGCAAAGTTAATTGGGTTGTACAAGGAACCTTCTTATTATGTGTTTCTACTGTTTTTTACCTCTGTGTATGCTTTTTGAATTATTCTATGATTGAAAAGGTGAAGAAAAATAATGGTTTAACCTTGGATGCTAAAACGGTTCCACTTTCGGTTTGGTTCTCAGTGCATTGAAGACAGAGATAACATTGTGACCACGTGCTTTGAATTTACACTACACGCATCATTTATTACTTTATAGAATTCGTATCTAATTTTATATTCTTGGGTAAGGAACGTGTCCAAGTTCAAAAATATTTAATGTAAGAGAAATTTCAAAAATTTGATCGCCATGTGATGCGTGAGAAACTCATGTTGGAAGGTTATGAGTCAAACCAAGAAGAACATTCTCCAGGTCTTACGAATGCTTGTTATAAGAACAATGGTTAAAAAAGTTAAAAGCTTTTTAATTTTGATATAATTAATATTATTCAATAAATGATTTTTTGCTTCATTCATTACTACATTCTTTTGGGTTTCCCCCATGAAGAAATGAAAAAAATATGTAAAAGGGTGAAAGGTGATAATGGTTGAATTAAATTCACACCAATGAAGCACTTTCTAGCTCAGACAATTTTTGAGTTTTATGTAATTATTTCAATATATAAGAAAAAAAGTTTTGTTGTTGAATTTAAGGAAAATATTTAATTTTCATTTCTTAAATTTTTACCTATTAAAATAATATATGTAACGAAACATGTTTTATTATTTTATATTACACTTTTCTAGAATTTAAGTAAAATTCCATGGCACAAAATAGCTTCAAAAGTCAAAGTATCACAGTCAACGATGTACAAACTAAAAATCTTATTGTATGTTTGACTAATTCTATGTACATTTTAGTGTGCTTTTATGCTTCTGTAACATATTAAAATAATGTTAGTGATATTTTAATTAAGACAACTATAACTAATATAAATTTTACAATTTGAACTTTCAATGATGATATATTATAAAAATATGTATAAAATAACATTATAATGCATACATAAAGTTATAGGCCTGAATTGTATAACAATACATATATTATTCTTAATTGATAAAATTGTTTATTAATTATTTATAATTAATGATTATTGTTATTTATCTATTTTTCTTTACAATAGAAACATGTTTTTACCATAAAGATATCATTTGAATACTTTTTTTTATTAATATCTCTTATATAAAAATATATATATATATATATATATATATGCAAATATATTTATAAATTTATTATTTTAAATTGTAAATATATAGTTTGAATATATGTCAATATTCATAGTATATATTAAGATATATATTTATTAACATAGGTTTCTAAAGAATTAAAGAATAATGAACAAATTATAAAATCAATATTTATGCAAAATACAAGTATTTAACTGGTATTAGAAAGTTATTTAAATTAAAATTTTGTTTTTTTTAATTACTAATTCGTAATTTTGATTTTTTTCTTCAATTTTAATTATTCTATTTGAGAAAATTGAAAATTTTCTTTATATTTTTTAATTTGGCAAATTATTTTCTAGACTTAATGTATTTCATTTAAGGTTTGATAGAATTTAGTAAAAAATTATATAAAATAGAATTTGTTCTCGTATTTATGAGTCTTGTATCGTTGAAGAGTCGATACTAAAAATAATTTATATATACATTCATCTCTTAAACCATCGAAACATTTTGTTAAGAATAGAATCATGACAAACTAAAATTTCAAAATAAACAATGTTTTTGACGTAAAAATTGATCATAAGAATATTATCAGTGTGGATATAAATTCGAAATACTCCAATTCTTAAATAAATCAAAATTTAATAGATTAAAATGTAAAATAAAAAACAAATAGATACAAAATTAAGGATTTGTCAAAAAAAAAAAAACTAAAAATATAACTTCACTAAAAATGTGGATCATCTCAAAATATGAAATTAAAGAAAGACGGTGAAAATACAGTTTATTATTTAACTAATATCTTTGACAAAGTTGTAGAAGGAACGTGGAATTTCCACCTAAAACTATGGTGATAGAAAGGTTAATTAACTTTCATGTTAATTAGGTCTCAAACCATGATTAAATGTCTTAATTTTTTTTAATTTTCGATACATGATTTCTCCCATTGAATACACTAATCTAAGTCTCAAACCATTACGTTTTGTCAGAGTTTTACGCGTTGAGTAAAATATAACCCCACTTTCTTGAATTGAACAAAAAATTGAACCCACTTTAGCTTTCTCTGTCAACATTGACAAAAGGTTGTTTGCTTTAATATAGAACATCGAATCTTCACCAAAAAAAATTAGCTATTAAAAAAGCCATGCTTTAATATAGATTCTAACCAATCACAAGAACAAAGTAGCATTTTTAGACACAACACAGGATCATCCCTCATCCAATTCTGATTATTTCCTACCTGCATTTGCACAAAAATAAGTAACAACAACAATAGACTTAACATAAACTTGATAAACAAAACAGCATTCAGTTTTATTTTTCATAGAAGTTGAAGCTGAGTATATAGTATATTGTACAATACTACAAGTCTACAACCAAATAAGAATCATTCAAATTTCAATCTTCAATGCTGACTTATTTTATTTTTTCACAATAACATCATTCAGTTTCCTGCATTAACATATGACAAAAAACAATGATAATGCAAATTAAACTTACCAAAGATCTAATCTGTTTATCTGCTTGGTTTAATCGTCTACCTATTCACTATGCTCATACTCTTGTTGAAACTTCATCTCCTAAATTTGATCTTATAAATCAAGTGATAGGAGAAAGGCAACATTTACATATGTTTTCCAGAAACAAAATCTGTCATCTAGTATCTAGCACCCTGTGCTCATACTGAAAGATTGGGCAAAGTGGAAAGCTTTGACCCCTATGTTGAATCCAACATTCCCATTAACATGATCATATGGTTTTCTGCAGCCTGGACACCGCCCATCTGCCTCAAGGATCCTTTTGTGACAAAATAGGCAGAGATGAAATCCACACGAACAAGGAAGAAAGCTTGAGTCTGTCATGTCTAAATCCTCATAACAGATGGGACATTGAGGAGGTTGTGACATTATGGTTTGCCATGCACAAGGTACAGTTTTGTGGTTACCATTCCAGTTTGAATTTAATGGAGAACTATGTTGCTTCGAGGGGTTTGGCAAGCACTGAGGACGAAGAGCATCGTCAGGTTTCCATGCTCGACGGTTTAGACATGATTTAGGAACAGCTGATTTGAACTCCGGTTTTGAGAAATCTGCTCTGAAATTCCTGGCAGCCTCTTGAACTGGAGAAGACTCTGAAACCACAGAACACAGATTATCATTTGCATATAAAGCATCAGCAACAACCTCCCAGTCATCAAGGCATCCATCATCCACTTCTTTGTCACTGACATTCCCTGAGAAACAAGCACTGATGCTGGTGGTACTGGTGGTGCTACTCCCAGAGAAATCACTCCCTGACTCATCAAGATCAAAACTATTTTGAATGGAGTTGTTTATAATAGATCCTGAATCATTACCCTGGATGCAAGAGCCTTCAATATCCTCTCCTCTTTTCCTCCTATTTTCCTTGTATGATGATCTATTATCCTCACAGGCAATGTTCTTTGATGAAGGCCAATGATCAACCCTTCCATTTGAGTCAACTTCACTTCCTTTTTTGACTAACACAAAACAATGAACCAATAACAGACAAATAAACAATAAAATTTAGTATCTTCGAAAGGATTTTGAAAGAATTATTGTTTATACCTTGTTACGTTAAAATATAATACTATGAGCATTCTACTCTCCTTTGATGAATAAAACTCAGTCTTGTGTAATTAGTGAAGAATACTGTAGCATTACTCAGTTTTAGATTTTACTTATTCATTATTCATAGTGAAATATACAATATTGGTGTCAATAATGAAACATGGTGACATGATGCTTCAAATATGTCAGATCAGAAGCTCCAGCCCTGCCAAAACTAATCATGCCAAGCTAGGAAGATCCTCTCAGATTGAAGGCTACATTTTGAAAGTTCATACAAAGAATATTTATAATATATTACATTTAAAAACTTATAACTTTGCAGGTTGATAGTGCAAGAAAGCTGTTGGAAATGCAATATAACACCATCTACGTATCTTCACCAAACAACTCAAGCTCCATGGTAATGCAGGAAAAGTTTGCATAATATCATGAAACCTCTAAACTGGTTAGTGAAATTTACTCTATAAAAACTATGACATGTCCAAGCCTTATCAAAAGTAATTTGGTGATATTTTTAAACAATCCAGGAAATTTGCACACGACTACAAAAGCCTTATCCCACCAGATGAATCTTACTTTTTGTATCAAATCGATATCTGCATGTTTTTATTTATTTAAATTGGAAGAGGGCAAAAAGTATTTTAATCTGGAAGCAACAATTTTTTTCCCTCTTCATTTTGAGCACCGGAATACACAAAGATACTTTCCAAACTTTAATCCAAACATTTCCTAAGTTTTACTTTGAGTTCCAAGGGCTTGGGGCCAGGTTATGAAACCATATGTGGAACCAATCAAGTTTTTAGATAATAGACAAATAAAAGAAATCCTTCAAATTGATTCTATCTGTATCAAAATTGTTAAGACATTCAGCATTCATGATTGGGTCAGAAAAAGAGGAAAAAAAAAATACTGTAAATTCAATGTCAGTGATGGGTTAATGAATAACAGGAAAACAACATCTACTAGATGAACAATTTCCAGGTGAAAATGAAGATCATAGAGGTACCTCGAGAAAGCCATTGTTCACGCCGAACGTCAAGTTTGATTTGCTTCAGTTTCGCGGACCCAGTTGTCTGAACAATCACAGGGCCATAAGCCAACAAAAATGGAAAAAACAAAAATCACAAAACCATGCAAAAATAATGAAATTTGCAAAGCAGAAAAGGACAGAAAATTGTCACCCTTTGATACCATTTGTCAGAACATTCACAACCCAAAAAGCCAACGAAAAGGGAAAAATAAAACTTTCCAAACAATGAAAAAAAAAAGAGATTTTTTTCCCGCAAAAACTACAAAAGCCGAATGGATACAACGCAATATATCAATGCCGTCATGGGTTAAAAAGGTCACATCTTTAACCCAACATGTTCAAAAATAATAGGAGACAAAATGGTTTGAAGAAAGAGATTGAAGGAATATAGAGAAATGGGAGAGTCAGAGAGGAATAAAGGTTACCCTTTTCTTCTTCGTGGAGAGACAAGGATCAGAAATGGAAACAGAAGCCATTGAAATGAAGATAGAATGTGATAAAAGGTGTGTGTGTGAGAGAGAGAGAGAGAGAGAGAGAGAGAGAGAGAGAGAGGAGGAGGAGGAGAAGGATAGGGAGGGAGTGGATGTTACAAAGTGATGGTTTGATTTCTCTTCTATTCCTGTGTTTGCATCAACGTGGCTGAGTAATTGCCATAACGTTCTTTATATGGTTCCCACTATATATATATATATATATATATCATAACTTTGCGGTAACAAAAAGAAAAACATTATAAATTTGTTCCTCGTAAAAAAGAAGCATTACAAGCTTTGATGTTGTGTTGTTTAAGGTTTTTTTTTTTTTTTTTTTTTTTCTGGCAATATTTAACAACTCAGATGGCAGAAAATTTAGTTCACAACAGATAACATGCTCTTGACAGAAGGTGATCTTAGAACTATTGAGTAACGGTGGATTGAAATTTAGAAATATTATAATTAACTTTTTCTTTTTATCGAAGACAAGTGTATTATAATCAATCAATATGCATTAATAATAATAATAATAGTATAAAATCTATCCACTCACGATTTTATTTTTACAAGAGTCAGAATTTTGCGTAATTGGGATCTACCTTATGCTGTTAAAAGAAAGTTCCAATGTATATCAAAAGAATTTGCTTCACGTGTATCAGAAATAAAGGTGAAATTTTTTGGATGAATACTTATTAAAGAAATTAGATTTAAATAAGTTTCCGTCATTCACCTTTGATTTAATTATCTTTTCTCACTTGCTTGTTCAATTACTCAAATTAAATTTATCAAATCAATTATACTTATTTTTAAAAAATACTTAATCACCTTAAACACATACTAATACTAAATATATTAATTTAACAAAAAAATTGATTTAATTTTAATTTAATATAAAAGTTTAATCGGTTTAGTTTTCTTGTTATTAATCAATTTTAAAAATATTGTAAAACATTTTTATTAAAAATTATTAACAGTTTTATAATAAAAAGTTCTCAAATAAAAAAATATATTACTATGATTATATTCATAATTTTAATTTCTATTAAATATATAAATAAATTACATAATTTTGTAATACAATCTAAAATTAATATTTTTTATTTATTTAATATGAGTATATTATAAACAATAAAACTTATAGACTATATTAGTTAATAATTAACTATATTTAAATATAATAAATAATTTGATTTAAATTGTCAATTTATCCTTAACTTTTAATCTAAAATTCTAACCAAAGCATATCATTTAAAAAGAAAATAAATAAAAAAATTCAACAAAATTTGAATGTTGGTCGATTTTTTATGTTAAGATTGATTTGTAGTTGTTTTCATTTTTTATGGATTCAATTTTGAACCCCTCTTAATTATAAAGTAAACTAAAAGGTATGATTAAAACCCATCACAATTTTATTCTTGTAAAACTCGAACAGAAAGTGAAAACACATGTGGAGGAATATAGCAAAGTAACAAGAACAGAAAATGAAAAAAAAAAAAAAAAAAAGCAGCAAAGAACAATATCAAGTATAAAACTAGGGCCAATTAACTGTTGCAACTAATGAACAATTTGATAAACAAATATTCTACAAATATATAATGAAACAAACTATTTACAAAGGAGGCACATTCCATGAGACCTCATAAACATTTTACACATTCCATCTATATTCCCTTCCTTCACTTACATGTGAATATTCAAGTACTATAACAACAGATAAAATTGTTTCCTAGGTTGCTTCACCAAGACTCCTTATAAACATAAAATTATGTGAGAGTCTCCTCAGCTGTTTTTTAATAGATATGTTAGAGACCAACTCTTCATGAAGATAAAGCTATGAGCATGCCAACAATTTCCGGAATCTTTCCTCTCTATCCCTACTACGAAACTGGGAGGTTGTGGCCCCTGATGGTGTTCGTCTCTTCTTTCTCGGTCGGAAGAAGAAGTCTTGTGTGTCAAGAACATAAGAAATCTGCATATGAAACTTGTGAATAAGCAAAAACAAAACATTGGTTTTAAAGAAAGTACAAAGCAGAAGAAGAATAAATTAAATAGCCTTGTCAATCTTTGGTGCTTTGAATGCCCACCCTACACAGGGAACATTCTCAAATCCACACCATTGGTTTTATAAATTGCAGCACAACCACACTGCAACACTACCTACAATTTAAAAACTTGGTGGAAGAAAGAGGGCATATCTATATCATTATCAAGAAAGAGACGATGGACATAAAGAAGGAAAGATTGTCCTTGATATTGTAAATCTACCAGTAAATCTTCAAAAATGGAAAACCAAGTATGAAAAGGCAGCATACCTTGGATGAGTTGCAAGCTATCTTACATTCCAATCCATTAATTACTTTAACACCTTCCATGGCAGAGCATATTGCAGAAAGCTCATCTAAGTTTCCATATTTGCGTTTGTTTCTGCATATACCGATATAAGAAGCAGAAACGCAGTGTTACCTAGTTGAAAGGTTGGCAATATTTCCATGTTGCTAGGCAAAATGTTTTATAAGCCCCAATTAGGCAATTAAAGGATTAACACGTGGTCAGTAAAAGATTAAACATGCTTACATAACAAACACCCTAATTATCATAAAGAAAAGAGAAAACTACAAAACCAAAAAGATTAATCTAGCTGAATCTGTACCTATGCAGTATGATGCCATGGGGTTCCTTTTTGCCGGGAAAGACAGACAGAAAATCATTGTGCAGATAAAAGGAGAAATTTGGATCAATAGAAATGGCAAACAACTCAGGCTTTTCATTCATATTGTCCATAAACTGGATGGATAGTCGTGAGGGGCTAGAGGACTGCAATACAAAGGAAATTAATATTAACCTCAAGAACTCATGCTCCTGTTCACAAATCTAAATTTTCTTCTTTTGGTTTTAGATTTGGGCACAAAGGACCTACACATTGTAACCGATAAATATTATCCTCATGAAGGATGACATGAGCATTTGCATGATATACAGAATCATTTAACTTCCCAGGCTTCCGAGACTTTTCATATTCATATAATTGTAGAAGCCTACTGTCTACCTCATCAGTTGCGACAGTTTGAAGCTACAGAAAAAGGTAAATTAGAATCTTTGAAGGAAAACAAAGCCAAAAGCAAGAAGAGCATAAAATAATACGGAAATATACCTGTCTGACCAATTTGTATATTAACTTGTCCAAGGTGAATAACACATATGACTGATTCCCAATAATTGCTCGGCATTCATCTTCAAACTTTGCATTTTCAGCAGATCCATCAAGCAAGTTGTACAATGCATTCATAAATCTAAAATATACAGACAATTAATTCAGACGAGTATACACACTCATTTGGGGGTGGGCTGGGGGGGACTTTGGGAGATGTGAAAATTTACCTTGAATAAGGATCTGGTAAACTGGCATCTTTTGCTTTCCATTTCATTTCTGCGCTCATTGAATTTGTTTTTGCTGATAAGATCCTCTCATAGAGAGTCTGCCAAGATCAAAGAGAGCTTAGGACATCCACAGAGAACGAAATTTCAATATCAAACACCAGTGAAAAACATTATCCTTACTTGATGAAGCCTAAAAAGCACGTAGAAGTCATCATTTCCATAAAACACCCTTGAGTCCTTCATTTCTTCAACAAATGAAACTGATGATACATGCTTTGTGAGAGGTTTCACAGATGAAAGGAACCTCTCTGACAATGGTAAAGATGTGCCATCTCCTCCAGCTTGTGCATCACAGATCCCCTCAGCTTCACCTTCACTCTCAGCCTTACCATCAACATCATCTTGTTCTATATCTTCCTCCTCTTCATGATCTTCCCGAAAGCATTCATCACCAGCAGATTCACTACCTGAGACATCTTCACCAGCTTCAGAAACATTTTCACTGTCCTCATCGTCAGCATCTGCATCATTGTCACCTCCAGCCTCAGGACAACATTCATCCTCTCCATTTCTAGACTGATATTTCCTTCTTTCAGAGTTGTGCTTTGATTTAGCCATTGACTGCAAATTTGAATCTCCATAGACAACAAAGTTGTCCTCCTCAGAGTCCCCATTTGGTGATAATTCACCCTCTTCCTTTTCAATTTTGCAAGGCCCAGCAGATTCATCATGAGTTTTAACTTTACTGCTCTCACTTAGAACACCATTGGCCACAGGTACTGAAGTTGCCATGTCACATCCCTGAAATACAAAGATAAACAGAGAGACATATCAATATTAATTAGAGAAAATAAAATAAAAATCCCTTGGTTTCAGAGAATGTAGAGAGAAAAGGAAAAAAAAAGAAGAAAAGAAAGAGAAAGCAAATAGACCAAAACTGATTTATGCATTTTTGCTAAAACTAGATAAATCTGCCTCAATTGGAAACCCATACCTCCACCGATGGTACATTAGCAACCTGAGACTTGGCTACAGAATCATCAGCATCAGTAGGTCGTGATGGAGTCAGGGCACGGGCTAGAAAAATAAACAAATTTAGGATTCTGACAGTAATAATATGAATTAAAACAGAAATGAAAAAGAATTGAACTGAGAGCAGGGATTTCACAAGTATGTCATGCAGACCTGGTGATACATCTAGGTTGGTTCTGTTCAGGCTGTTTTCTCCTCTAATTGCAATTGATACACTGCTTTTAGCTCCTTGATCATCAGATGCAAATTGTTTGCTAAATCCGGAGGCTTTATCATTGCATTCTACATTTTTTAGTCCTTTATCCATTAATGGGTCATCTCTACAAACAAGTTCACCACCAACAGATCCATTTTCTTTATCATTGGTTGCTACACTTGTGCGGTGAACATTCTTTGCTTCAGTTACTCTACCATCAGCCTCATTCTTATCAGATTTGGGTAACCTTGAATTCATTGAAAGAGAGTCACCATGAGGGCTTCTGTCACCCCCTATATTTGGTGCACCAAAATTACGAACATTATGCCCAGTTTTTCTATCCTCCGCTCTTTCTATTCTATGAGACTGGGCAGGAGCACCAAGCATTGGCTCCAAAAAGGTACTCCAGAGCCTCATAATTTTATTTAACAACTCTTTACTTGAGAATAACTCCTCACATGAATAACGAACAAGTTTATACAGGTCTTCATGAATCCCAACATCAGAATATTCAAATTCCAGATGTGGAATTAGAGGCTGTTTATTTCCAGCGGCAATAGACTGAATAATATCATCTTCTTTCTGCTGCTTTTCTTTAATTTCTTTAATTTCAGCAACCAAAGCTGTATAATATCAAACATAGAATCTTAGAACTGACTAGATGACAATACTGGAGCATAGAGTCTTCTTTCTGTTGCTTGTCATGGAGATCATGGCAAGTCAAAATAATCAAATCAACATGAAATATAAACATAAGAAAAGCAAAAAACTTACATTTTGTGCTCAAGTTCTTTGAATCCTGTTGTTTGAAATAGAAGCTACGATGATCCAGTGACTTGTAGTGATTTTTAGAATAAATTTCAGCCCATACTTTATTGAAATCTGAACGACACCTACTCCACTCCTCTTGCTTCTGCTTCAGCCGGGTCAATATTACAGGCAGAGCATGGGTTGGGTTTTTCCGCAATATGTCTATAACGTCAAGACCATGATCACCATACAGACGTTCAATGCACCTTAAATTTAGAACTGCAATCCGTAACCTCAGACAAAATCAATTCATAAAGCTCTAATAATTGAAAAATAGTAATTATATATATAGTAACATTTTATTACATTTTAAATTGAGGTTATTCTGACACATACCAGTAAAGTGCTCTTCAATGCGGTTCAGAGTCTCCACACTGATTTTGTTTTCACTGATGTTATTATACAATTCCTCTGCTCGTTTAGCAGCTGAACTCACAGACTCTAATAACATGTCCAGCTCATACCTACATTAGAAATAAAAATACCATCATCCCATGGTACAATATACAAATCTTTGAATCTTGACAAATAATAGTGACACCAAAATGAACACTGCAACCAAGAGGCATAAGAAATAATGGAAACAAAGATAATTTGACAGATCCTGGAAAAGATAAAAAATTAACGGGGTAAACAGTAAAAAAAAAAATCCACATAATTTTACCTGTCATCTTCACATCTGAACAAGCTTTCTTCATACTGATTTCTGCGCATGTGTTTGAAAGAATAATCCTCACTTCCAGAAGTCACAGATACCCAGTGGTCATTCAACACTTGAGCACCAAGCTCAGATCTCTGACTAGCTGTAGGGATTGGATACTGCAATAAATGAGGGGGAAAACAGATTTACATAGGAACATAATACATTATGAACAAAGCCAACAAGAAAAGTAATCAAATAGAAGTTGCATACATCTGCAGGCAAAAGCCGATAGCTGGGAGTACAGCGTTTACAATCACTAAGGTCAAGTTCTTGAATGGATTTTCCCATGTATTTCTCCTTGTATCTTTCCTTCTCTTTAGCTCCATCCATATCACGCTTGTGCTCTCTGTCTTTGTCCTCCAACTTTGATGACCTTGCTAAATGAGCATCTGTAGATAGGGACTCTGAAATCAACATATTTGCAACATCAATATTGACCATCGATATAAGGGAAGAACCTTTAAAAGAAGATAATGGTACTTCAGTCTATAAACCAGAGAGTCCTCCCCAAAATAAGATGGAATACAAATAAATGCATAAAGATAAGGAGGATAAGATATATATTATGTATTAACATACTTTTACTCATGACCCCAGCAAGGAATCCATCTGCAAAAACAAATATGATCTTAAGGATTGAGAAAATACAATAATAATATTAAGGAGCAGAAAAAGAAAATAAAAATTGAAAAGCAATTACCAATATTTTCACAACGCTCCAAGAAATCATTGAATTCGTCCATAAGATCTGAATGCTTTCCAAGTAAATCAGTTACCTAAAACATAAATTTTGAAATGATATATACATTAAGACTAAAGGAAACAGAAACTTATAATAAAGTGTTTCAGAGCTTGGGAAAAAATCTTGCCATCTAGATTTCTACATATTGTGTATCTGATGCAATTATAGAAATGAATAGATTATATATTCTGAATGCAACTCAAAATATATTGTGCTTAGTGTTTTGGTTAGGAACCAAGAATTGGAATGTGAAAGAAAAGAATTAACTCTCAATCAACAAATGAACATTTATCCTCCCATTTCCCCTTCATTAACCTCCTAACTAGCTCCAACTTTCCCATAGTCCTAACACTACCGCTCCTCCCTCCTAAAAAACAACCTTGTCCTCAAGGTTGAAAGCAACAAATTGATAACAAATCAATTTCATGTAATAGTGTACCCAAAATCTCCTTGCACAGTACCCCCATGTTCATCCCAATTTGTATTTGTTGACAAAACTTTACATTCAACTGAATCACATTGTAATCACTCATTGGTTTTCGCTTGTTTGCATCATGTGTTGGTCCAAATGTTCTCTTGATTGGGATGAATGGGGTTTTGAACTTGACTTGAGTTTGGTGAGTATATTATATGAGGTCCACTTTTGGAGTTCAAAACAATGATTCAATTCAAGCCCATGGGAGGTTTCAAACTTGACACATTAGATGGTCTTTGATGGAGAGCCATTCAACATCAAGTTCCACACCTCCAGTTCCATGGACAACAATGTCCACCTCTGCTGATTTTTTGTCTGGTGATTCCAAGGATGATGATGGGTTGACAGGCTGTTCCTCCAAGAAAACAATCTCCTCTGGCTCTCAGGATTCTAATGATCTCCGTATCTTTATCCAATTCAACACTTCATTGCATTGTTCTTTTTCAAATTTTTGATCCCCCTATCTTGACATAACACACTTATAGTGTTTCTCTTTTGTTTTTCTCTCTACACAACCTCCAAAGGATTTCAATGATCTCCCTATCTTTATCTCATTCAACACTTCATTGAATTTATCTTTTTCAACTTCTTCATCTCCCTATCTTGATGTAACATACATATAAAGTGTTTCTTCTTTGTTTTTCTCTCTACACAACCACCAAAGGTGGTTTAACTGCACCTTTCTTGTGCAAGAATGAACCTTAACATTATTGCAATATTCTAATAAACTCCCTTGCATGATTTTCTTGACATAATTGGTTAAATGGAGTTTGATCTCTTCTTGAATGCTTTGTTTATATGTGATCATGTCCTCCACCATGATTTCTTGCTTCTACATCAACCTTTCCAGCCACATCTTGATCTCTTCAATTCCCTCAATCTTCTTGACATGAGAGGGATGTTTCACAACACAGAATTGGTTTCCTCCCTCACAGACACCTACTTTTGAACTTCTCATCTTTGTTTACCAAATTTTCCCCTCAATCTAAAAATACCTTCCCTTCCTTGAATTCAAGAAGTAATGATTTGATTTGACTCATGTCTAGCAAACTCTCCTTTATGAAAACCATGCTTGTTTTCAAATCTTTAAGCATCTTGCCATGTTGGCTGGCCCATTTCTCCAAAATGCACACTCAACTCTCCATCATGCAACTCGAATCAAACCAATTTGTCAAGAAACAAGAATTGAAATGAGATATGAAAAAAAATCATTGACTACGATGAAAAGAACTAGAAGAGACTCTCTCTGCCAATAGTTTCCCCTTCACAAAGGATTTCTCCCTTCACAAAAAGCTAATGCTCAATTTACAAATGGACATATATCCATTCCCCTTTCCCCTTACATCCTCCTATTTATTTAACACATTAACCCTGACTAACTAATCAATGTCCTAATGTATTAACTACCTCCCCTTTTCCAATGTCCTAACAGTTTCTGATACAATCATTTTATACCTCCCCTAATTGTCTATCACGATACCTGCATTTTTCTGTGACCAAAACCTTCCTACAAAAGCCCTTTCATTTTCTTTTCAGCTAAATCCTTCATGTCAATACTGGCAAAAAATAAATACCAACATGGTCTGAAGGAGCATGTACCAGCAGTCAAAAAATGAATAACTAATTGTTTGGAACAGCAAATACCATCAGTCAAGGCATTGAACAGTTTATCATGAGAATTGAATAGCATATTTTAATATCTTCTAGAATTATCAGCACAACTCGTAACCAACTAATCGTCATATACATCAACTAATGAAACTTTATGAAATTCCTAAAGAAATAGTAAGTAACATAACTAAAATAACTCAATGTCAGCAAGAATACCCAAAATGAAGTATACGAGTAAAAGCAGACAGATGTCTTCTTGCATGACTTTTTAAGTATGTGACTCACAGAAGCAAGCACATACCAAATTTTGCAAATCATTCCTTTTAATTATTCCACTGCTGAAAATATGAAGGCACTTCAAGAATGTTTGGTAATCATCAGAACTGCTCAACTTCTCCTTAACTTTCTCACAGAAACTGAATGCTTGACTATACATGCCTGGCATGAATAAAAAATAAACAAATAAATATGATCATTCAGTCCTACTCATCCCCATAATCTATTTAATAATAACAGGAACAAAACTTGTAGTCAAGAAAGATACTACCAGGATATATAAATTATAGAACATTATGAATCTTAAAAACAAGATAAAAGTCTGCAGCATACTCTTCAAGGTATCTTTGTCATCATAAGAAGGAAAGTCGGAAGCCATTCCAAAACCTTCAGCCTTCTTGACAGATTTCTTTTTGTCAGGAAAGCGTTGCAAGTTCAAATCCCTGCTGTTATCAAGATCATGTTCTCTCTCATCCTGATCACGCATTCTCCTATCTCTTATTTCACGCTTCCTCTGCTCCTTGTGTATGTTCAACATTGTTTTGTCATCATCCATGTCAGGGTGTTCAGCGCTCATATCCCGATCATGAGAAGGAAGTCTGTCTCGTCGATATCGTTGCTGTAGAAAGAAGTTCACAACCCAATCATTAAAAGACGCACTTTACAAGATTCATATAAGTGGGAGAGGAACAGTCTTACTGCCTTGTCTGGTGGTATTTGGCGCATCATTGGAGCCATAGAACTACGCTCATTAAAGCGCTGCACTGAATTCCGGTTATATGGAGCATGCTGTGAGGAAGGTGCAGCAGAAGTATCTGGTAAGAATCTAGTGAACTCCTCCAGCAAATCTCGATGGTCCTTGAAAAGGGTAGCAACCTAGAAATATTGTTGAAAAGAAAAAAGAGAGTAAATGTCCAACCAAAATCTATTAAAGAGAAAGAGAACAAAGAAAAATACATCAAAGTGTGCCCCCAGCAAAGGACAAAGCATATTACCTCACTATAAACTTCGCCAATGTCCTTGTGCTCTTTGCGATACATGTTTAAAATGTCCAAGAATGATTTATAAACATGCTCATCACTTTGGAAGCGCTTCTGTAAAAGCAAAACATATTGATTACAGCTAGGAATCAGTAAATACGTCACCACCAGAAAAACCCATTCACCTTTATCTTGTTCACAAAACTGATTGCTTCTTCAAATTCAACTGTTTTCTTTGGAGGAGCCTCATCCTCATCAAGTGTTATCTCATAACCTTTTGGCAAGAATGTGTTAAATCCAAAAATCAAATTGTTGTGCCCTTTGAACAACTCCTTCACCCTTGCTATGACACCAGCAGTGTCAGTCCTGGAAAGAACCAAAAGAAGGATTGAGATAAATTGTTTCTTTCTGTACAAAACTCTGCATTTCAAAATCATCATATATTGTAAAAACTAAAGAGTGGAACAGGAATCTACCTTTGAGCCTTGAAATCTTTCATGACCTCAAGGAACATGTCATATTTCTCTCTTTGGTCCTGAAACATGTCTTTGACTTCCTTCAAATAGGATAAGGCATCATTGGTGGTCAGTTTCTGGGAAGTAGCTGCTCCCCCACCAACAACACCGCCATTGCCACCTCCCCCTCCGCCTCCTCCTCCCCCTCCGCCTCCACTTCCAGGGACTTGGTTTTGTCCATAGCTTCATACACAGAACACAAACTCTCTTTCAGATACACATAATATTAACAATCACCGTATGCTAATCTCTACAAGATATCAAACATGCCACATGTTCAACGACCAGACTATCCAAAATTTATAATATCCTCATTCCTAAGGATGAATCTAAGTTAATATATGAGGTAATTTACAATTGCAACACTACTCGTATTACTTGCCAGATAAGATTCAGGCGTACAACTCTAAAAAATCAATTTGTTTCAGCAATACCCTAACTACCACAAACATTCCGGTAATCCATGATCCCACGAGATAACCCATTCCAATATCAATTCAGGTTAAATTAAACACAATCCAAAGTAAACTCTACAACAATTCAACTCCGCAAGTGAAAACACAACTTAACAGCAAGCCCACGTTCCATTTCCGGCACAAATAGGGCTAACTACCAATTCCAGAGGGATAAACACAAAATTGACACACAAAAAATAGGGCAAGGAATTGGAAAAAGGACAAAGAAACATACGAATCAGCACGCGACGAAGAAAAAGGGCGTTTGAATTGAGAGGCAGATGCCGAGTAAATATCATCCCTTGCTCTCTTCATCCCTGCAAAATCAAAACCAATCCAATTAAAACAAGAAAAATAACAAAAACAAAGCAAGGTTCTTGGCGTAGAACCATTTGAATTGTGCAAAAACAAAGAAGACCCAGAAAGTGAAAAGGGGAAAATATTGTACCTTACGAGTTTCCCAGATTTTTTTTTTCTCAGAAAGCTGCTGGAAAACAAGTGGAGTAGATCTCCGAGGAACAAGAGAAAGAAAACCACTTATGGGGTTTGATCAGACAAAACAAAAAAATAGGTTCCGTTGGGTGTGTCTGTGTTCCTATCCTGCTTTGTTATGTTAGAACAAGAATTGAGACAAAACATAGAATGAGAAAGAGAGAATTTGGGGTGAAAAGGAAGAAGAGAACTCTGAAACTCAAAACTCAAAATTTTATAGTCAGAACAGAACAATTAAAATAACACATATGAAATGTAATGAAATGGTGATTTATTTGACAATCAAGGCAAGTGTTCCTGTTTTATGTTGTTATTCCAATTGTCCGAGGCTTTGTTGTTTGAATTTTTTTTTTCTTTATTGTGGGTTGATCCAAGCCCATGGTTTTTTCATCTTCACCTTCTTGGTTTTCTAGTTTGTTGGGTTTTACACTTAGGTTTTTAAAACTGATAAAGCAATGCGTTAAAGTTCTTCAAATTTTTTATTGTGAAATTCTTTCATTTTAATTGAAATTATTATTTTTATTGAGATAGTTTTTCTTATTATAATTTCTAAATCACAATTATTTGGGTATATTCATAATTAATGTTTTTTTTGTTTTTGTTGGTATTTTTATTTTATGTAGTAGAATTCAAAATGTTTATTTTTCGTTTAATCTATTTTTATAAAAAATATATTATAATAAAATAATGTTTTCACTAAAACATTTTTTTTATAGAATATAATGTTAGTGTTATTGTAATAAAAGATTGAAGTTTTTGATAAAAATATCGTATTTCTTTTTTTTAATTCTCAAGTAAATATAAAAATTAATTTCCTTGCTTACAAATATCATGAATATTAATTTTGATTAAAATTATATTAAAAATGATGCTAAAATAATCTTTAATTAATTAATGAGAATTTTTTTTATATTAACATTCACATCTATTAAACTCAATAAGATATATATATATATATATATATATATATATATATATATATATATATATATATATATGTATCCAAATAAATTTTAACTACAGATTTCACGTCTAAGAAGTGATAACATGCCAAATTCTCAAGCACATAAATAAAATAAAGTAACATTTAATTATTTTTTTATTAAAATGTGTTAACCTTTGAATCAACCCAAAACCAGAATGTTTTATAGTTGTATAAAATAAAATAATATTTGTTTTTTTTTATTTCGTAGTTATTTCTTTCGTATTCTTTTTGAATTTTGCTATGGGCCCATGGTTTTAAAAAGTTTTCTCTTTTTAGATTTTAATTTAATGATAGTAATTAATAAAATTATTTGTTTTGTCACATTCATATGCCTTAACAATAAATAATAAATAGAGAAAATGTTTTTTTTTTAATGGTAAGAATCACAAGTTTCAAAGTTCACAAGTGAAGACCCACAAATACTTTATTTAAGATGTGTTTATTTATATATATATATATATATATATATATATATATATATATATATATATATATATATATATATATATATATATATATATATATATATATATATATATATATATAAACAATGAAAATCATAAGAGCCATCAAATTTGCCCAACTAGATTTCATTGGGCTTCTCCCTCAATCAACCGAATTCTAATACAAATTCAATTTTTTATTTTATTTTTTTCAAAATTTTGATTTAAATGGTTCATTATTAATTGATAATGTTTTAATTTAACCCAATAAAAAAAATTCACTATGAAAATGATTTTAATAAAAATTTGGCAATTCATATATATTTTTTTAAAAAGAGACATCTTTATTATATACATGTTTAAATACTTTTTTTATATTCAGTTAAATTTAACATCCAATTTATTGTATGAGAAAATTATAATATTTTATTTGTATGCTTTAGATTTTGTGTAAACACAAAATAAATGCTCAATTATATTTTTATATTATTTAAAAGTATATTACTATTATTTTAATATTTTATTTACAATTTTTTCTTTTAACGGAGCAGATGTTAAATGAAGCCCACATTCAAAAGCTTGGAGTCCGTTTAAGCATTGGCCCAATTGAGAAATTAGGCTCAAGAGATTTTCGATGCTCATCACACCCCTCTGGTGCATACCACAATTTAGAAAATACTTGGCAAATAGGAACTCAAACTCCCTTTATTAATAGTGAGTTGATATTTTTAATCCAATTCCGAAAATTCTTTTAAAACTGATATTTGCTTATTGTTGTTTTCTTGAGTGATTTAATTGATTTCTCTACCTCTATCGTAATTAACCAATCTCAATTTACATTTGGATTTAATTGTGCTTTTTTTTTGAACTATAAAGCAAAACAAAGTCATGTAAAATATAATTATATATACATTTAAACATGAATTACACTAGGCATATTAATACAATTGCATCTAAAAAATAGAACATTCACTTCCCTTAGTTTTAAGGGTAAACTCAAAATTTAGATATTAGGAGACTGAAACTAAAGACTACGTACATTTAAGTCAACAAAATCAATTATCATACAATTTAAGCATATATATAATATGGGAAATTTAGAGACATTACCAACAGCTCCATCATTTTTTTGTTGTTGCTATCTTCCCTCAAGCTCAAAAAAGAGGTTTAATAGTGATCTCAAATGGAGATGACAACTTGGTTTGGTTTGGTTTGGTTAGCTGATTTCATGAGTAGAATTAAGATTCATGTTTTGTTGGTCTTCTTTGTAAACTGACCAAAGAGTAATAAGCTCCACTTGGTCCCTCAGCCAACAAAGAGGAGTGAGTCCCTTTCTCCACCACTTTTCCCTTGTCTAACACAGCAATTAGATCACAGTTTTGTATGGTGCTTAACCTGTGAGCCACCACCACACTAGTTCTCCCCACCATCACCCTCTCCAGAGCATCTTGCACCAATTTCTCTGATTGGCTATCAAGTGCACTGGTGGCTTCATCCAGCAGCAACATTTCTGGATTCTTCAATATGGCTCTTGCTATTGCAACTCTTTGTTTTTGACCCCCTGAGAGTTGCACTCCTCTATCTCCACACCATGTGTCGTAGCCATCCTTTAGGCTTGCAATGAAATCATGAGCATTAGCTGCCCTTGCTGCTTCTATGATCTCAGTTTCATCAACCTTGTTAGATGCTCCATATGCTATATTTTCCCTTATGGTCCCACCAAACAATGTTGGCTCTTGGCTTACAAGAGCAATGTGCTTCCTTAGTGACCTAAGGTGATATGATTTTATGTCTCTACCATCTATGGTCACTGTCCCTTTTAGTGAGTCATAGAATCTCTGTATTAGGCCTATTATTGTTGATTTGCCAGACCCACTTTGCCCTACCAATGCTGTTGATTTACCTGCATCTATTTTGATTGAGAAGCCTTGAAAGATCATCACATTGGGCCTAGCTGGGTATGCAAAATGGACCTCATGAAGCTCTATTTTCCCTGTTAATTTTTCAGGCTTGTACCCATCTATGTCATCAGGTTCAATTTTTGTGTACCTATCTAGGATTGCAAAAACTGAGCCCACAGCATCAGCCCCCTTGGCAAGGTCATTGGTCATGCTACCAGCATCTGCAATGACCCTACCTGTGCTCACTAAGATCATGAAGGTCTCAAACAATGCCTTGGCATTGATGAACCCTTGAAACACAAGCTTTCCCCCATACCAAAAGTCTAAGGCCCAAGTGCAAAATGTAAGGCTTTGGGAACATGCAAGACCAACACCTGCAAACCATGATTGCCGAATGCTTTCATGACTTGGTCCCTCTTGGGCCTTTTCTAGCATCTTTAGAATTCTGTCTTGGGAAGAAAAGGCTGTGATGGTTCTAAGGTTGGAAACAGCTTCTGCAGCTATCTTGCTACTTTCATCTTGGGCCTTGATGGCCTTGCTAGACATGCTCTTCAGAAGGACACGTCTTGTGTAGAAACAGGCTATGATAATGGGTTGAACTGCTATCATAACTATGGCCAATCTCCATGCAATGATTAGGCCCATAGTAAAAGCTATTGTCACTGCAGAAATGGTTTGCACCACTAGAGCCATTCTGTCTCCCACCAAAGACCTTACCTGTAGTGGTGTGAAATACCAAAGGTGAAAACCACGATATAAAAACAACAATTAAAAGATCTCACTATGTTGCGGAAAGTTATGTACAACTATGGCATGATTGTCACCACACTTTCTATTTTTATATATTTCTTATCATATTCATGTCATAAAAGGCAAACAAGTTAGATTTGGCATGCATTTGTGTGAGATTTCTGAGCACTAAATAACACTGCTAAAACCAAAATGTAAAAACATTTTTACTTATACAACCTCACACAAAAACTAGTTAATTTTCAATTTTGATAATAATTGAATAAATCTCACACATTACACTCTTCTGTTGTGTTTTCACATTCATGTAAAAGTTTATATGCTAGGAACAACATAAAAAAGCATGATAAAAACATACCACATTAGCTTCTTTGGCAAGTCTAGAACAAACAGCACCAGTGGAATTTTCATCTTGATCGAACCATCCAACTTCGAAAGTGAGTATCTTGGAAAGCATTCTTTCTCTGATCCTTTTGGTTAAGTACTCTCCCATGTAAGCAAAGCTATAGTGTTGGAGGATATTAACCACCAAGGAGAACACAGCCAACCCTACAAAGCAAAGAGAGTAGATCCTGGTTTTCTTCTTTATCTCATCATGGTCTGAGAGAAAGTAAACAGATATCACCGACCCCATTGCAAACGCATACACAGGCTGAATTGCACCAAACAACACTGCATTCAAACACCCCAAACACGCTTGCTTCCACTCAGGAATATTCAGTGCTAGCAACCTTCGAAAAGAGGGAAGTGGCAGCTTCTTATCTTCCACAACCTCTTCAACAACATCATCACCACCACCACCACCAACAACAACACGAGGGATTGAGTTGACAGAGCTAGATTGACTCACAAGAGAAAGCCTACGACTGCTTGTGCTGTGAATGTCCTTGTTTGCTATGGATGATAATGATGAAGGAGGAAGAGGATGAAAAAGGGTGTCTTCTTTCTCATTTGTTGCTTGTTGGAGACGAACTAGTGAGGTGTAAAGGCCATTGTCGTTTTGGATGAGTTCATGATGTGACCCCATTTCCATGATCTTCCCACTTTGCATCACAGCAATCACATCTGCATTTCTTATGGTGGATAATCGATGAGCAATGATGATTGTGGTGCGCCCCACTGCTGCTTTGTCGAGTGCTTCTTGCACAACTCGTTCGGATTCAGAATCTAGGGCACTTGTTGCTTCATCTAACAGGAGAATTCGTGGCTTCTTTATTATTGCTCGCGCTATGGCGATTCTTTGCTTTTGTCCCCCTGACATTTGAACTCCTCTCTCCCCAACCTGCAAATATTATCTACTGTAAAATATCTTTGAAGTAGTTCAACTTTGGAACAATGTTATAGTAAGAACAAAAAAATTACAATAATCTATGTTATGTATGGAAAATTTACAAAATAATAATATTTAAGTGATAATAGATCACAACACAAAAAAATAAAATCCTCACACGACATACCATTATCTTGCTAATTTTAACTTACCCAATATTCTAAGTTTGTTTAAATTTCTTCGAAAAAGAAATCAAGAAATATAATATATTTTTTAATTTTAATAAATATATAACTTTTTATTTAGTTTTTAGCCATAGGTAAATTATACATATGTAAACTAATTAAAATTTAAATAAATAATAAATAATATTAATATTATTTTAATGTTTGAAAAATAAAAATTAAATAAAATTAAAATATTTCAAAAATTTACAATAAGTTTCATATTGATTAAAAAAAGTATGAGTTAAAATAATAATTTATATAGACTGTATTCTTCTATTATATATATTTAATTTTTTTGGACAAACATATGTGGTGGTTTAATATATATATATATATATATATATATATATATATATATATATATATATATATATATATACACATTAGAGACAATTTTATTATTAGTTAAAATTTAATAAAATTTATGCATTTCAGTGAGTTCTTCTTTAATATTTTTAAATGATTTTTGTGAATTTTTTTTAATATTGTTGCTTTTGAAATAGTGTAAAATTGAATTGTGATGAGTTGTAGAATAAAAATGATTTGATTGTGTGGGAGATGATTTGATTAAAAATGATTAAGATGCCGCCCATATCTGGAACATGCCATTAGAAACCATTTGCAGGAAACTTTCTGTGCTTTACGTACGTGGACCACCAAATTATTAGTTAACATTAAATTATGCTTCATTCTTGTTTTATTTTGTTTATTCTGTCTTTGTTTTTTAGTTTTAAAATCGATAAATATGTTGAAAAAGCTTTTACTGTCAAAAGTATATATATTATGTATTAAAAATTTAATTTTAAAATAAGTAAAATTTTATCTCTTGATTTTTGCTTAATTTAAATTTAAATTTTAACTTGGACTTTTTTTCTTCTTTTTCATCAAGGATTAAACTTGCATGCCTAGACTCAAGCACAAAGCTCCAAACTGCTACAAGCATATATCAGTAATGGCACTGACCTGAGTATCATATCCTTGTGGCAACTGTGAGATGAAATTATGAGCATTGGAAGCTTTTGCAGCCTCCACAACCTCTTCCTCAGTGGCTTCTTCTCTTCCAAACAGTATATTCTCCTTAATGCTGGTTGCAAACAGTGCAGGCTCTTGACTCACCAACCCCATTTGAGACCTCAACCACTTGAGTTGCAACCTGTCAATGGCCACACCATCAACACGTATCTCTCCCTCAACTGGGTCATAGAATCTCTGCAGAAGTGATATCACAGTGGATTTTCCTGACCCACTCCCTCCAACTAGTGCCACTGTTTTCCCTGCAGGAACCCTTAGGCAAAAGTCCTTCAGAATCACACTGTCTGGCCTTGAAGGGTACACAAAATTCACATGCTTAAACTCAACTTCCCCAGAAACCTTCTCCAGAATCTCCCCACCCATGTTGTCAGAATCAATCTTTGGAACCCTTTTTATCACCTCCATTATGCGTTCTCCTGCAGTGCTTGCCTCTGAAAAATACTTCACGTTGGACAAACCAGCCCCTAATGCCCTGTCTCAAACAAAATTGAATACTTTAGCTTACACTTAGTAATTAATCACTAAAAAAACAGTCATCACTTTTGAAGTTTTTTCATGTTGCATGTTCATGACTCTGATCAATTTTATAGTTTCATTACAAAGATTAATTGAGTTGAGATAAAGGTAAGTATAATTACAATCCTCCAAGTGCTATGGCTGCTCCAACAGCAAACACAGTACCACCTTTAGCACCATGATACATGACCAATCTGCTACCATAATAGGATATGAAAGCCCATATAGCAAACACAACACCATTGCTTCCAATAGCTAAGCCTTTTGCTAAGCCTTGTCTCAGTCCTAACTCAACTGACCCTTGTAGAGCTTCAGAGAAAGCATCTATGGTCTTGGTTTCCCCCACGAAGGAGTAAACGGTTCTGATGGAAGATATTGCCTGCTCTGCTACTGTACCAGCCTTGTTGTACTCTTCCCTTATCTTGCTAGCCAACCCCATTAGTGTTCTCCCATACATGAAACCAGGGATCACAAGTAGAGCCACAAAAGGGAACCCCACAAGGGTCAATCTCCATAATAATGCAAAAGCCACTATGTAGCTCCCAACAAACATAGAGGCATTCATCAAAAAGTTTGGAACCTGGTTTTCAATGTTGGAAGAAACTGTTAGTGCCACAAATAATGCAACTAAAAAAAATAGTAAATCTTAACTATACAATTTGTGAGACGTTTAGATGAAAATGAATTGAAGTGGGTTCGGTTTCATAGTAAAATTATATGAGAATTGATTTTTAACTGCTCTTAAACTTGATTTTACAGAAATATAGATGTTTGATTTTTGTTTGGTGAAACAGATTAGTATTTTCACATGTGAGTTTATGGTCAACTTTCTTTTAAAGTAAAAATATTCAAATATAAATCACTTTACTTGAAAACCAATCTAATTACATTTTTCATATAAACAGATTTGACCGCACATGTATAAAAGAGTTGTTTCTTATTTTAACAAAGTCAGTTACTCTTTAAAACTAATAAATCAAAGTAAAAAGTTGACATAAAAATAACTCTTTTAATATTATTTTGGAATAACCTAATATATATATTGTATCATTCAAGGAGTTTACGACAATGAAGTAAAGTACTTCATCTAAGTTGAAAATTGAAATGGCTGAAGAAGAAAACGAGTTATGAGTTTTGTTGTTTTGCACACCTTTTCACTAAGAACATCTTGAATTACGAGGCTGTCGTTGGAGACACTGGTGATGACCTCAGATGTGCTAGTGACATGCAAATCAAAGTATGCAACTTCTTGCCTCAACACTGCTTTTAGGTACCTGACTCTCATTCTAGCAGCTTGTCTTTCACCAGTTCTTGTCCAACAGTAACCCTCTGAAATCCCCCAAAGTAAAAGCAGTACAATGTTAAGCCTTTTGATCATACAAAAGAAAGATATATAAGTCAGTCAAAGTCAAAACCAAAATCATTGCAAAACTGATACTCACCTAGAAAACAAGCAACAAAAGACCCACCAGCCAAATATAACAAAACCACAGCATTCTGCATCACACATGTAATAAAACCAAATCAAATAATTAAGCCACTTTCTCATATTTTCTTTGTGTGTTGAACAAGTGGTGAGAGTAAAAGAGAAGAAAGAAAATAAAACAAATTAAACCTTATTGATGCTATGGATGAAATTGTTATCTGTGCTGCTAGAAAAATCACCAATATTGTTCATAATTTTGCTGGTGATAAACAACACCAAAGGGGTGCCTATGCCATCACCAATGGCTCCTAACAACCCCAAAATCATGAGAAACCTATCTAGGCCATCAGCATGCATGAAAATGGACCGAATAGACCCACTCTTCTTCTTCTTCATAACCATGGAAATAGAACTATTACGGTCACCACCATCGCCACCCATTTGGTGCAACCCTTTAATTAATTTCCTTAGAAACAACCAACAGTAAGATTCTCTGACCACTACTGTGTGGCTTCTTCTTCTTCTTCTTCTTCTGTCTTGCTCTAAAGACCCTCTCAGTGGCCTTATATTATTCAATATTGCTGCAACGTTATGATGGAATTTATAGACACGAGAGAGTGCTCTGAGGGAGTTGGGAGTGTGGAATGGTGGGGGCCAAAAGCAACAAAAAAAGAAAGGTCAGTGTTGTGTTATTCTTGGTAACATGTTTGGAGAGGGTGGAGAAGAGTGACATTTCAGAAATCAATTAACTAATGGGAAAACACAAGTTTGACTTTATAATAATGAACCTCTAAAAGCGTCATTAGTGACGTTAGGTTGTAGCAACACAGCATAATCCACACAAGGATACATTGTCTTGGAAACTTACAATTTGTAGTGTAATTTAGTTTTAGCAACAAGAGAGATCAGAAAGAGAGAAATTTGCTTAGTTCTTATAAACTCTTATATAACTTCATCTAAAACTTAAAAGTATGATGGTAGAAAAGTATGAACAAATCTTTAGTTTTATATTAATTATTTTATTCCATAAGATTTCCAAAATAGAAAGAAAGTTTCGTAAAATTCAAGTCTTCCATGGTATAAAGTTCAAGTTATTTTTCCCTAAATTAGGGGTTCCTTGCTTGTGCTACGAAAATAGTCAAACAAAAATGAAAAAGAATGGAGAAATGAAAGCAAGCAGATGGTGGGGAAAAAACAAAGAGGCAGAAAAAGTCAAGGGAATTCTATATTCTTTTCTTTTTCACATTTACTTAGAGTTTAATTTATATTTGCTAAAAGTATAAAAGGATTTTTATATTGTTCAAATATATTATTGTATATCTTAGATTTGAAATCAATCTAGCTTTCAACAATTTGTATTAATTTTTTCATATACTCAGTAATACGATTCATAATGATTTAAAATATTTAATACTAATTTTTTACATATAAACCAATAATTAAGTTTTGTCTCACTTATTCGTAAAATCCTCTATTTTTCCATGAAAAAACATCTTTTTTCTATAGGAAGCTTTTACTACCATTTTGAGTTCATTAAAAACATCTTTTACTGCCAAACATCACCTTAAAAAAAAAAAAACTAAAGTAGGTCAACTTTTTTTATGTACACGGTCGGCCATTACACCTTCACTACCATGCTTTAAGAAATTAAACTGTACATCAACTCTAAAAACTCTTGTTCATTGTATCATGCAAAAGCTGATCCAAAAATATTATAGACATGACTCGTAAATCTTTCTTTTAAGGGATTTAAGGCTTTATTTATTCAACTTTCCCCCAAAAAAAAAAAAATCTGATTTTACAATACTTAAATATTTTATAAATAATAATTTGTTTAAGATACATTTTGTTGAATATTTTTAAGGGAGAATATCATCACAAGATTTTCAAGGACTAGTTGGCTAAATCGTAATTAGACAACTCTAACATTATTATTGAATATTTTTGAGAGATTAACATTGAAACTTTACAAGATCATGAACTAATTACTTCATATTCAACTAAAAACTTTAACATTATAAATTTATAAATCTTTCGTATTTAACTTTTTATTTTTATTTTTATCAAACCTAGAATTTTAATTTTCACTTGAATTTCCGGTACATTTAAACTAATAGCAACTATTTTTTATTTCTTAAGCAGAATATAACATTTTTTCATTAGCTAAAGGGGTTTGGAATTCCATAAATTAAGTTCTTTCTTCATTCCCAACATACTTGAGAGAAAAAGGCCATTAGTTTAAATATAGAAAAGAAAAAAAAGTAGATGAAAGTGGCTTGGTATACTTGGAATGGAAACTCTTTTATGGTGCAAACAAAGTAAAAGTTAATTTTCTTCTATTTTTATGCATGGCTTGTTTGAGACTTTGTGATGGTTTATGAATGTCACTAATTATAGTTGTGATGGATAAGTAGGGAAGGGAATATCTTTGTCTTGATTTCCTTTCTCTTTGTAAGCACTTGTGGGTGGTGCCTTTTGCATCAAAAGCTATATATGTGTAAGGGAATCTTGAGATTTGAGATAGAGAATACCCTAGCTGGATGTAATCACAATTGCTTTAAACTCTACTCATTTTCATCACCCACTTTATTCTATTCTTCGCACAACTCTCTTCTTTTTAAATACATCAAAATTTAATTACTACAATTTACTCACTATTTCAAGTATTTTTCTATCACTATTTTCAGAAAATATTTTAATTGAATAGTTAGTATCAACTTTTAGTTTAATCACTTAAGTGTAACTAATGAGAAAATCGTTATGAATCTTTCATCTCTTAAGAGTTAAGACTAAGAGTACTTTATATATATATTATTCTTTTTCAATTTATTGTTGTATCTTTTAAGGAGAAAATAATAATAAATCCTATTTTGATATGCTCATGAGTATCATATCGTTTAGGAGTTGAGACTAAAGGTAATTTATACATATCATCCTCCCCTAACTCATCAAAACGAATTTTATGAACAAAATTGTGATAAACTAAAATTTTAAAATGAACATTACCTAGAATATTTGATCTTAATAATGTTATCATTACAAACATAAACCTAAAACACTCTTATTTCTAGATAAAATAGATCCTAATATTAACATAACGAAAATGAGATATCAAATATACTTTATTATTCCTCAAAACAATTTTGTTCCTAATTTATTTGCTACAATATTCATATTTTTTTAATTAGAAACATTATATTTCAATCAACTCATAATAATTATTATATATATTTATAAGTCTTATTTAACTTAAAACTTGAGATAAATAATAGTTTATTTGTATTATTTTTTTCCACCCAATAATATATCATTTAAAAAAAATATTGTAATAGATTATAATTTTAAAACAAAGAATACATTCAACCATATAATTATATGGAACATGAAATTTAATCATTCTTATTCCTTAATAGAATAATAATTATTATATAATATATTAAAAACATAAATTTGACAACCTATAATATATATATATATATATATATATATATATATATATATATATATATATATATATATACTTAAAAAATAAGCATATACACTTTAATAAATGTTGCCTTGGAAATTAATAATTTTATTATAATTATTTTAATGAATATATTTGTTATAATTTATTTAAAATCTAGAAATAAAAAATGATGTATCAAATTGTTTGCTTAGAGCACTTGAAAACAAATTTTAACATGACGTATTTGCCTACGTCATGAGGGAGGATATAAATAGTGCATACGTAACAGCAAACGCGTACATGCGTTGATTATTATTATTTTTAACTTGGAATATAGAAAATAAAGATCCCAAATTTTATATATGCAATTTATTAACATTTTGATCCTGCTAACAAAAAGAGGCTTTAGACCCATAAGCATGATTTACCAAGAAAAATAATCGTTTTATCATTAAATAATACACACATAATTAGAAATAATACTTACTTGAATATCACGCAAAAACATACATTAATCATATGATTCAATGATAATGATCCGTGTGATTATTTTTAGTAATAAAATCACTTCTTAAAATATATTTTGCATGTGATGTATATTGTTTTGGTACAACTATTTCAAATGATTTTATTTATGTTTGACGTATTTGCAAGCAACATATCTACACCTTTCGATTTCGATCGAGTACGTGCCTTTGATGCTAGGATCCATTTACACGTGTAAAATTTTTCTCAAATTATATTTTTAATAATTTATATATACAATATTTCATACAATTTTAAATTTTTTTGAAAGCTTATCATATCACTTAATTTTAAGGGATAATGTGATGTTTAAAAATATATATCAAATAACATTTATAAAAAAAATTAAACTTTAAGATATGAAGAAATAATAAAAGTTTGCTAGGTATGAAGATATGAATTATGACACGTGCTTAAACAAAGGGTTGCAAAGATTAAATTTTTATCTTTTTATTCTATTTTGGTTTCTTTATTTGATCTTCACATCTATCTTTTACTATTTATTTTAATTTTATGTAAAATAAAATATTAAATTTTACAAAAACCTAAATTAATAAACAAAAGTTCTATAACCTTTTAGTGAACTTGGTATATTGTTAAAATTCTTAATAATTATGAGTTTTTTTATTATAACAAATTCTTTTCATTTTTTTTGATGTTAATTACTTGTTAGTTTGTTAGAGGGAAATATTATGTATGTAAGATTTGCCTAATTAATTGAAATGAAGAACAATGGAAGTTTTTAAAACAATATATATGTTCCATAATAAAAAATAAAAAAAAATCTTGATTTAGTCCAAAATTTCATGTTAACAACAAATGCTCGATAGTGATGGATGATTATTAAAAAAAATTGAGATTATGTAGCTGTCACAATCGATTAAATAAAATATTACTAATAAAATATGAACTTGAAGTTGAACGAAATAAAAATGAAAAATCTGAATTTTCTTCCTTTTAATATGGAATTGACCAAGTTGATAAATATACACTACTACGTATATGTGATCCATGTGTCATCCCTTTGAATTTAATGTTTTTAAACTAAAACAACTCAAACGACAACGTAAGACTTGGGATGAGTAGTGATAGATTTAGAAACTAATAAGGAAAATTTTTGTTCCTATCTATCGCCCACTAATCTCTCTGATTATACTTAAAAAAGTCTTCAGGCTGAAGTATCTATAATATACTTTGACGCCAAGTTAGTAATAAGAAAACCCAGAACAGTTGAAGAAGTAGCATCTGCAAGATGAACAATGAACATGGTTGTTCAATTATTTAATAAAAAAAGGAGGAACTAATATTCTGAAAAAGGTGGTGATAATTTGACTAGAAAGAATGACAATTATTACAATGAATTTCTTTATCCTATACTTTGGCAATAACTTGTGTCCCCCTACACTCCTTGTGTTGATTTGTGGGAAGTGACAACTTAAGATGTGAAAAGTAATAGACACATAAAATG